GTTGAAAACAAACTCTGTGACCTGAACACACTATTATATTTCTGAAAATAGCAGGATATAAAGTACATTTTGGCAATGAAAAAGTCTTTCATTTTCTGTTTTCGGTAAATCCCCTTACTACTTTAAAGCATATTACTGTCCTCCGAATTAGACATACATTACATTCATTTTTCATCAGTTAGAAAAAAAAAGTGAATTGCTGTCATTTAGGGTCTTTAGTAAAAAACTTCTATTCCTTGAGATTTGTTTTACATACCTGTAATTGGTTTGAACTTATTATGGGATGTTAGCAATCTGATTTAAATACAGATCCTGTTTCCACGCTTCACTTAACAAGGATCCAACAAGGCTCTCGTTCTACTTTCTGTTTTACTACAGATCCCTGTAAGTAAATATTTTAATCAGATTTGGATATATGTACTTGTATGTAATTTTTTTTGGTACCATGTGAACAGATTAAGCAGAATTATTATATAATATCATATTGCATGTAGGAGTATAGAGCAGTCTCATTCACACAAGAACAATACACCACTGACAGTATTCAATTCATAGTTATCCATGCAAAAATATTAAATATGTATAATATTGTATCATTGCTTACAATTAGTTTTTATATGAAAAATTTAATCATAGTCGATGACATGAAAATTTGTGCTACCTTCTTTATTAAATTGGCATAATATTAAAACATGGTGCAATTTTTAGTGTTGAATCAAATGATTCACACGCTATAAATCAGCACTATTTAATAGATAACGAAGTCTCCAATAAGTATAAATTTTGGCAAACAGTCATTGTTACATTGTTAAAATATAAAGTGCAAAATATATGTCAAGACAGAAAAACTGAACCGTTGTGTATTGTCTGAGTTTGGATTTATACTAGGATTAAACTTTTATAGTGTCTAATCTGGAGAAATAAGTACTTACTAAATACCCAAATATGTATTAATGGTACTATATTTAAATTTAGGATTTTCTTGACAATAAATTGTATTGTAAATGTAGGTGTTTTCTTTATATACCAGGTTTCACTTTGTTAAAACAAATTTTTAATGACACCCAGAAGTGAATGTTTGCCCTACTTAGCTGTCAATACAGAATGTTCATAAAAACTGTCAACATTTTATTAAAAAAAAATCAACAACATAAATATTGGTATAAAATTGACAACAATTTAAAGGCTTTTGTTATTCTGAATTCTGAGTTACTTTAAGGAAGGATGTTTAAATTTGTTTCAGACCCCAGGGCCCAGGCCATAAAAATTTCAAGCACGATTATTGTACTCGGACTCAAAAATCAACCACACTAAATACTAGATTTGGTGTTTCGAGCACACATTTTGTACTCTGAGTACTGAGTAAAGTTTTGCAACTGAGGGCACTGGGCTACGGTGTCAGTTATTAAAAGTCATTCATGTTTTCTTATGACTAAGGGTAATCAGTTCAGTTTTAGCCTGAAAATGGTTGAAGCTACTGAAAGAATAAATTGTCAGATAAGTATAGGACAGTATAAGTGACCATTTATTTAACAATTAGATTGTTTATTTTGACTATACAAGTAGTAGATAGCAACATCAATTAATGGGATACCTTGAATTGTATAAAAAAATTCAGAAAGCTTGGAAACTTAGGAATCTTTTTGAAGAGTTGACCCACAACAAAGGGAAATAACTGTGAATGTTACCATATATAAACTGTGGCCTGTCAAGTGTCAGTTTCATGTTTATAAATGTCAATTATATGTCAGCTGATATTTTTTCAATAAACTGTAGTAAATTGTCTTTAAAAGTATTCAATGATTAAGCGTTTCTTACAAAAATCAATGATTTTTCCTTAGTTCCCTATCTATGTACTGCGATTATAGGATGTTATCTTAGCCTTTCTACAGTGTAAATAAAAGTATGAATGATTGCTTCATACATGGATTTCATGACTAAACAAAAAAGAAAAAATCCCCAAACAACAAATCTTTCTGAGTTGATACCTTAATATTTATGCTGAGCTCATAAGCAAAAGAGGTTTGAATTCCTCGAAACAGCTACTTCCCACACAGAGTATCGATCAAGTTTTAAGCATATTTATTTTTATGAAACTTTCTTGCAAACCAAGAATCCATAATGGTTGTATATATATGTAAAAAAAGTTGTTTGAATAATAATACAGGTCTTTGTAGTCTTTCTGTTCAAAGTTGATTGTTCATATACCGGTAAGTTCATTTTATTGAGTTTCCGCTGAATAATACACCTTATGTTTGGACTCTTACTCATTTAACACCAAATTAAGATAAAGAATCATGGTGACAAATAGTCCTGGCTTCTTTCATGTCTGGATCGTAGTTGACTGGAGTTATTGGTCTTCTGTAATCCATTTTACAATTATAAACTTAAATTCCAAAAATTATAGTATTTTTGGCAAAGGGAAGCAACTACTAGATATGACCAACTGTATCCCTACCTATACAAACCTTATAAATGGAAAGGGCATGTCTTGATGATGTATATTATGAATTTTCATTATATAATCACCTATTTTGCAATCTCATTTTTGCCATAAATGTGTAATAAATGCACTTAATGGTCAAAATGATTCTCAGATCTCACACAAATCACCATGCTCTTTTCCACTTGTTTTGTAAAGGCAGGGATACAGTTGTCCTATCTTGCAATTGTTTCCATTTTCAAAAAATTCTGAAATTGGAAACAGTGTATATAAAAGTGGACTATTTGGACTTTAAAAATTGACTTGTATCAGAAAGTTATAATGGTTTTAAAAATGTACATTTTAGAACAAGCTAGATTACATCAACAAAAACACCATGTGTAGGTAAAAGACAAAAACTGACAAATTCCTCTCTTTAAACAGGTTTGATAAATTGTGTTTTATTCTAAGTGAGAAGGCCACATGTTTAACTGTATTGAACATACAAGTCTAAAATTGAATAAAAAGAGAAAACAGGCTAATATGAAACTAAGGATATGATTGCCAATAAGACAACTATCCCCCAGAATTCAATTGACATGCATTTGATATATTTATTTGGTGCACTTATTTATGTGGGTGCAGTTTGTTGTTTGTTTTATTTCTCTTTATAATGTACATACGATATCAAATGTCTTCTCTTCCATGAAAGTACTTTATAAAGCTGTAAACAAAGATTTGCGCTATGACGTAAGAAATCATGCTGAAATAGATCACATTAGAGACGGTTTGTCATAAATTGATTTTGAACTAAAATTGCTTTAAATATTTATTTAATTTTATATTAAACATGCCCAGAGATGTCTTTGTCAATGATTGATAGTGATGATAAGTGTAGACAAACCCATGCCAGTTTTATGTAATTAATATATTGTTACAAATTTTTTATATGGCTTAGATATTTGGCTTTACAGAAGTATAAACCTGTTGTTATTTGTAAATTAGTAATTTGAATGGACGTGCAGAATTTCATTTCTATTGACTATGCTTTTGCCTATTCTGTTATCCGACATCTTTAAAAAAAACTTTTTTATTTTGCGTTTGTCCCTTTTTAGCTGACTAAGCTGAAATTTATTTTTAAAGATTTGTTGATGAACCAGTATTCATTTTAGAGTTTCTTCTAGTTTGACATGTTCCCCACATTTATAATCATGTTATTTTTCTACTCCCGAAAATAAATCACTTAAAAAAATTGGTTGGTTTAACAGTGATTTATTGCTAGTATACAGACATTTGTCTTAAGGTTCCATATTGATTTTATTTTCCATTTGTTTGAATGGGTCTAAAGCTAATTTCTGTACCTTGGTACATTTTCATGACTGTCAATATACAGATGAATGAAATGGGAAAATATAGTTAATTTGAGATTCGAAATTGTCCAAAATACTGCATGGGAATAATTTTATGATGCCAGTTACAATAGTATTAATTTACCGACTACTTAAAAGGTACCAGTTCAATAGATTTTTAAATAACAATGACTGCTGAAAAGGTACCTCCAAACACAGTTTAATTAGTATTGTTTGCTGAAAAGGTACCAGTCCGACAGCAATTCAAAGCACCAGTTAAACAGAGCATCATTCAAATCCTGCTGATTTGATTTGTCACAAATTTTCATTTACAGTGGATTCATTTTTTTCCATTGGATACCAAATTTCAAAGATTTTGTGGGTACAGCTAGTTAGGTGAACCACAAATCTAAATGTTCCAAAAAATTGCAAATTTTCCAAAGGGTTGTTTGGACAAAACCACAAAATCCAATATCCACGAAAAATGAAAGTTTTCCGCAATCCATACAATTGGTACCCATGAAAATAAATGAATCCACAGTAGCTTGATTTATCCTTTACTGCTGAATATTCAGTGGCAAATGTATCATTCAGATTCAGGAAATCCACGTCAAGTAAAACATGCACATTCATGCATGCATGCATACGGTTGCCTATAATTGCTAACATCCACTTCATTTGAACTTGGGTGGATAGTTGTCTCATTTGGCAATCATACCACATCTCCTTATTTTTATATACATGACAGTTAATTATCATTGATATGGTAACTTAACATCAGGGAAACAAAACTAAATTATACAGTGTCATACAGTTTGCTTTTTATGTTTTGTTAATACATTGAACATCTCTCAATACATCATTGTCAATATAATAGAATTTTATGCGACTGTCATACAAGCAAGAGGTTTGGCTAGCTATAAAACCAGGTTTTATCCACCATTTTCTACATAAGAAAATGCCTGTACCAAGTCAGGAATATGACAGTTGTTATCCGTTCGTTTGATGTGTTTGAGCTTTTTGAGTTTTGAGATTTTGCCATTTGCTTAGGGACTTTCCATTTAGAATTTTCCTCAGAGTTCTGTATTTTTGTTATTTTACTTTTCATTATCTGAATTTTCTCAATAAGCATGATTTTTTAAAATTTTTTGCCAAATAAATGGGAAAAAAAATCAAACAAAAAAAAAACCCAAACATATTTATATAATAGACTGATTGTTTATTTTCAGAACAATGAATGGTTTGAATAACAGTGGTCAGATGGGCCCTCCTAAAGGGACAAATATACCAAGACTAACTATCCAAGCCGACACACCTGTACCTTCTTCTAACAGTAATACTCCTGTTCCAGCTTTAAATCAACAGCAAGACAAAACTAGTATAGCATTACCAGCACTATCTTCCAACAGAAATGTCATCAACTCGGGAAAACCTACTCAAAACGGCACTACGCAGAAGTTTGCCCCATCTCGCAACTCGTGTCCACCAGGCAGCTTCTTTAATAATCAGAGACAGCTTAAATCAGGTAACTCTAAGTCAAAATATATCATAGTCTTGAAATCTGAATTTAAAATATGAACGTATAGTTGAACCACAAATTTAAAAGTTCAACGAAATTGAAATTTCTATAGGCATGTATTCAGACTTTGGCTAGAGGTATATGGGGAGGGTTGAGATCTCACAAAACATGTTTAACCCCACCACATTTTTGTGCCTGTCCCAAGTCAGGAGCCTCTGGCTTTTATTAGTCTTGCATGTTTTTTTTAATTTTAGTTAATTTATATGTTTTGGAGTTTAGTGTGACATCCATTTTCACTGAACTAGTACAGAATTTTTTTAGGGGCCGGCTGAGGACCACCTCTGGGTGCGGGAATTTCTCACTGCATTGAAGACCCATTGGTGGCCTTCGGTTGTTGTCTGCTCTTTGGTCAGGTTGTTGTCTCTTTGACATATTCCCCATTTCCATTCTCAATTTTATTTGGCAAATATCAATGAAAATACGATTTTTCCTCAATCCACAAAAATTAGTACTCATGAAAAATATATGAATCCACAGTATACAGCTTTTGCCTATTTTAACATATGCAACTGAGTTGTTGTTAGTGGTGTTACCTGAAAATAAAGCTTCCTTTTCTCTTGGAGTCTGAAATCTTCATGATAATATGGAACTGAAATATGGATTATCTGACTGGTCAAGGCTTTTCTTCCTTCATTTACAACAACCAGGTGATAACTTTTATCATCTGACTATTGTAAATGAAAGGAGAAAAGTCTTGCCTAGTACCTACCGTATGAGGGCTTTATAGCCAGTCAATGTTAAGTGGTAATATTCATTGTTTTTTACTAGAGACCTATAAATCAGAGAAGACTAACAGAATATAAAATGTTCTCATTTAGAATAAAAGTTGTGGATTGCATTTTAAAACAGTTCCAAACTAAGGAAGCAGTAATTATTCTGACGAACATTGTTTAATTGCCTTGTAAGGTGAATTACCTGTTAAAAGGCTCTGCTTTGAACAATCTGATTTGTTATATTGATTTTAGCAGACTGCCATCGTAAATCTTTTTTATATCGATTTTCCGAGTACGTGTATGACATGTTGTCCTAGTGTAATAATATTGCTCCTGTACTTCTTGTCCTTGGTCAGATTATTTTCTTCCTTCTTTCAATAATTGAAGATAATGAACACCTTTTTGTAGAGATGAAAATTCCTAACAGACTTAGAGGTGTCATGAATAGATTTGTAGCATATCTTATTGGCTCAGAGCAATCATGCTATCAATCACAATTCAACCTTTTGTTGGCTTCTAGAATTTGATAAAAGTTGATCTTTGACCATTTGAATATACATGCAAAGAATGTTTTATCTGAGGTTTTTTGAAAAAGAAAAAAATTAGAATAAACTATTTTTCTCTTAAAAACAAATCATTTTTGTTTAATCATCTACCATTTCTTCAGACATAAGGTGCTATGGTGTGTACATGCACAGAACACTGTACTGAAAGCCTTTACAGTGCATATATATATATATATGTATACATGTATTGTTTGAACATTTTGATATAAAGTTTTTTTTAAATATTTAAATAAGCAATTTTTTTGTTGAAATCTGATTTTCCTAGAGGACAAGGAGTGCTGATTTTTATACAAATCATTTTTTAAAGTATTATTTTTCGCAGGTGAAAAACACGTTCAGATTTAAACAAACTCCACGTTTTTTACAGTGTTGTTACTATTGTATCATATCAGTTAGATCTTTTTTGAAATTAATTTACAAGCATAATGGATAAAAAAAGATCAAATGATTCTAGATCTTATGTAATATAAACTTATTCAAAAGGACTTGCCAGATGAATCTGAATTGATATTGGAAAATATAAAAATATACATCATGGATAATTTAGCAATTTATCATTTTAAGTAGTAGTTTAATAATGGTATTTAGCCATTGTGCAATCCTTTTTTAGATTCTTAAAAGTACATGATTATTTTTATGTTTATTAAGCTGAAATTTGGCTCATTTTTAAAGGGAGATAACAAAGAAAAACATCAGATTTTAATTCAGCTGTATAAAGTAGCCTTTAATCAAGTTTTTGTTGGAATAATCAAAATTTTCTGTTTCAGTGTATTTATTCCAAAGTCAGAGTAAATATTAAAACAAGATCATATAAGTGTTTTAAGTACCAGCTCTTTATAGAAACACTCCTGTGAAATTTCTTTCGTTGTCCATGTCAAGTTGTTTTTATCAATTTTAAATCTGTTGTTAATTAATTTGAATTTTTCTGTGTACACATTTCAAATTGAATGTTTACTTCTTTTAATTCTTTGACAGAAGTGAACAAACTGTGCCTTTCAAATTGATGTTTATTCTATTTTTGTTTGCTAGGATTATATTTGAGGGACATGTTTTAAGTTCAAATGAGTTTGTATCATCAAAAATATGTCTTAAAAGAAAATATTGACCAGTTGACATATTAGTTATGGCATTTAATGGTCTCATGGTCTATTTCAAGAGCAGATATATATGTCTCTGAGCACACAAGGGGTATCAGTACCGTATCACTCTACAGTTTTGTTAGGAATTCTTATAAAGTACATGTACTGTCAAATTCAATTTAATTATAGTTGAAATGAACAATTTATTAAATAACAGATTTAGTAACAGAATATTAAAAATAAGTTTAAAATATTGTTAACAATGGTCATATTTAACCTCTCCCTCTGAGTGTTACTTATTTAGTATTATTTGGTACTAAGCAGTCAGATACTAAGGTGTCAAAGTTTATTAAACTTACATGTAATAGATACTTTTATTATTTTAAAATAACTTTCATCTTTATAATAACTGTATCATATTGTGTAAATCAAACAATATGAATATCGTTTTTGTTTTGTTTATCAAACAATGGCACCTTAAAAAAACTTAAAGTGTGAATAGCAACAGTGTCAATAATAAATACAATGTTTTCTGTCTTATCCAAGGATATACACTTGCTAGCTCTAGTAGTAAGTGGTACCAGTCAGTAGCACTATTCAGTGACTAGAAAATATCAACTATCATTAACAAAAAGTCATGAAAATAATAATAAAATTAACAATAACCAAACAAAACAAAAATAAATAAATCTAAAAAAATTAGAAACCAAACAAAACATAAACAAAAAGCTGTATTCTACAAAACTGCCATCCATCTTAAACCCATTTTTTTAATGGACTGTCAGATCATAAAGAGACTTAATTTTCTAATCAATAAGCTATTATTTGAAAATAAAGTGATCCTGTCATAGTTTTCTCAGAATTGATCCTATATGTTTGTCAGGCAAGTCATTTTTCCTTTAAAAAAAAAGTTCAGTGACATAATTACAGTATTTCCGCTTATTATGGTAATAGTACTTAAAGGGAAGAGAAAACAATATTTCTCAATGTCATTATGACCATGAATATACATCCTTGTTGTTGAAACAATATACTTCGCATTTAAAAAAACAACAACAAAATATGCATGAGAAATTTAGAAAATGTGATAATTAGTTGGCGTATGGAGTAATTTAAAAGTCCGCATTCTTCATCAGTGGCTCTTTTCACAAAAAATCTTACCACTAAAATCGATCATAAGTTATACTGAAATGTTCATGACTTACAAGTATTTTTTCTCGTAAGAATTTTTGTGAAATTTGTCCAGGCCTTTTAAAGTCATTCTCCAACAATGTTCCTACAACGATGTAGTTCCAAAGAAAAAAATCAAAAAATTAAGATGTAATGGTGATTAAATTTTGTTTCAGGTATGACTGCACTTTATCAGTGCATGTGTTAATATCAGGTGTAGGATCAATACAGATTTCCTGAAACAAGCTTATTTCCTTCAATTATTTTCAATGGTATAGGGTTAATGTTTACATAGTAAAAAATAGAATAGAGATTTCTGATAAAATCCTCAGATCAAAGTTACCACAATGTCTATATTGGAATGTTGATTTCAAAATTAGCTTACATTTTGTATTTGTACAATTAACCTTGGTCATGAAGTCTCAGGTCAGTAGAGATAAGGTTTTAACACCATTCTCTAACAATAAGTAAAATATCTTTTTAGTCAGTCTTAGAATAAATTGAGTCAAAAAGAATGAGCAAGCCTGTCTATAAAAGGCTTTGGTGTGGCACAGCTATTATTATTACACACCAATAGAGAAGTTTGCAAAAGGCTTTTCTTGAATATTTTCATTGTGAAATAACTGTCCACCCATTAAAATGTTGACTAATAACATACTGACCCAAAAATCATTGCCTAGATCATAAAACAAATTTTTGATAACCAAGGTATGATAGAATCAAAATAAGAACATTAAAGCTTATATTCGAGTAGCCATGATATATGTTTAGATATAATGAGCACACGTCATGATATACAGCAAATAATTTAAATTTGATGAATAGAAAATAAAAAAAAACTGTAACATGTAGACAATACATCTGTATGTTTCCTCTTTAAATGTTTCAGTAACATTGATCTTTCTATGTATCTATTTACAGACTTGAATGGCAGTAATCTTGGACCTATGTGCTTTAGTTTGAATCCACGGAACAGAGATGGTGGAAACTTCAGTCACAATGTCAACGCATTCAACACAACAAACAATCAAAACAACACTCTTTTACGCCCTACAAGTAGAATGGAAAATGCCACGCCTACACCAAGTGACATCTCTAGCATAAGCTGCACACCACGCAACGGACCACAGACTCCGAGACAAACAGATCGAGCACAGACACCATTGAATAATGAAAAAGAACATGTTTTTCTGGAACCCTTCCCAGTCAAGCAAGAGTGGAATCCATATAAACCACTACCACAGGTTCACAATGGAAATAATCACCATGGCAACATCAATGGCCATAGTAACAATTCCAATGGATCTGTATCTGGAAGTGAATTTTCCCATGGTGTTACAGGAAGTGCGACATGTTCCCTGTCACCATTCCAAAACATGGATTCTTCTCCGTCAAATTCATTATACACAGCAAGTCCACGGCACTCAGCTGTGAGAACACACGGACAGAAAAGAGCTTTATCAATCTCACCGATTGGGCCTGATGGTGTTGACTTGTATTCTTTGATTAGAACATCACCAACATCACTTGTAGCCTATATTAATGGCTCACGTAGCTCTTCAACAAGTGCTTCCCCACAGCCAATAAATCACCATGGCAACTTTGGACATGCCATTGCAAGTAAGATGCACAGATGTGGCTCATCTACAGTGAGTCCATTTTCTCATTCCGGTAATTCTAAACAGAGAATGTCACTCCATAGTGGTGGTTCTTTCAAGAGGGAACCAGAGTTTGGATTGCATGAGAATTTGTCTGACATGTTTTCCGATATTGTCAGCAATCAAATTGTTGTACAACAGAGCGATATTCCTATGGTTGAACAGAAGGCTTTCAGTGATATGCAAACATATGGAGCCCCACAATTCAACAATTTCATGTCCATGGGACAACAACAGCAACACAACATTCCAACAAGTATGGGAGGAAATATGTCAATGAGACCACCTCCATCTTATGACCAGGCTATCATTCAGGGTCAAAATACTATGCAGCCACAACAGCAAATGATGCAGACGCAAAATCAGAGGCCATCATTACCTCTACAACAGCAACAAAATTTCCCTCAGAACATTCCTCAACCTCATGTTGATAGTAATACAAATAATGTTATAAACAATAATAATATGATTAATGATCAAAATTATCAGAACAATAATGTTGACGATGGAGATCTTGATGAAAATGGTGAGAAACAAAATATATGTCGCTGGATCGACTGTAATCAAATTTTCAAGGAACAAGATGAACTTGTACGTCATTTAGAAAAAGCCCACATTGATCAGCGAAAAGGAGAAGACTTCACATGTTTTTGGGCTGGTTGTCAAAGGCGATATAAACCTTTTAATGCCAGATACAAATTACTTATACACATGCGTGTACATTCAGGGGAAAAACCAAATAAATGTACTGTAAGTATTATTCTTTACTTGTTACATAGATGGTATCTGTTTAATCTTTTTATACTAAGTTATGCAGTTTTCCATTATGCCTTCCATTTCCATTTTGTGGTGGCATGCTCACATCGAGTGCAGGAAACTGTGGGTTCAATCCACAGCAGGGTTAAACCAAAGACTTGAAAATGATATTTTCAGCTTCTAGCATTTAGAAGTTAAGACTGGTTGGCTCAGAGTCGGGATAATGTGCTGGGTAGAATGACATGATTTCTTGGGGTTACCTTTTGAACAAGCATGTAAAACATCCGGCTCAGTTTGTGGGTCTTGTACAAAGCAGAGTTCATTTTAATGCACATTAACATGTTCTTGTTCTGATTATGACCTGATATGCATGTAATATTTGCCACTGGATGTTAAACATCAATTAATCGTCATCATCATCAATTTCTATTTCCTTCTTTATTTTCTGAGTATCTTTAAAAGCTTAACTTTGGACTTAATCACAAGTTTCTGAATGTTTACCTGTTAATTTAATGTAAGCAATAAAAAGGTACCGGTAAGTTCTGTAAATCAAGCCAGTTACACTTTCCTATATGTACGGAAATTATAGAATACTTGAGAAGTTGTCTTTTTTCACTTTTTTTGTGCTTTTTTCAAGTTGTTCTAACAAAAAGTGTTCAAATCTTCTGTTCAGAGCTATTTTAACAAAAAATGGTAATGAAAGGGTCAGAAAACTGCTTGAACAAAGGATATATCCTACAGGAGATTAGGTGAAAGCTATAAAAGATAACTCAAAACTCATATAGGTTTCAAACTGTTGTTAAAGTTTTGACACTTCTGCATCTATTCTTTAACTGGATAAAACTTGGTCCTATTGTATAATTTAGATCTGATTATTAAGAAAGCCAATGAATAGTAATGTTCATAAAGTGAGTGATACAGACCAGGACGTGCCTTTAATATATTTTTATGCCCCTGCCTTAGCGGTGGGGGCATTAAGTTTTACCCTTGTCCGTCTGTACATACGTAGGTCCGTCCGTACGTCCCATAATTGGTTTCCGTTCTCTAACTTGAGTTTGCCTCAACCAAATGTTATGAAACTTATACATAATGCTTATTACCACAAAACACAGATCAAGTTTGAATTTTGGTGGCGTCACTTTAACCGTTCTAGAGTTATGCCCCTTTATAAAAGGAAAAATTGCAAAATTTTTATTTTCTTCTAAATATCAGGTAATTTTTAAAATTGGAGATATCTTCCTTTGTCCATGATTATAGTTGAATCAACTACAATCAATGCTTTATACAATGCAATGTTTAATTTTGACTTCCACCGATAAAACACAGATCAAGTTGAATTTGGGTAGTGTCACTTTAACCATTATCGAGTTATGCCCCTTTATAAATCGAAAGATTGCAAAATTTTTAGTTTCCATTCTGTAACTTAAGTTTGTCCCAACCAAACATTATGAAACCTATACACAATATTCATTACCACAAAACTAAGATCAAGTACAAATTTTTGTTTCTGTTTTCTAACTTAAGTTTGCCTCAACCAAATGTTATGAAACTTGTACACAATGCTTATTACGACATAATACAGATTAAGTACGAAATTTGGTGGCGACTCTTTTACCATTCTTGAGTTATGTCCCTTTATAAACATAAAAATTGCTGAATTTTTCGTCTCCGTTCTCTAACTTTAGTTTGTCTCAACCAAATGTTATAAAACTTATACATAACCATTCTAGAGTTATGCGTGTTTACAAACAGAAAAATTGCTGAATTTTTAGTTTCTGTTCTCTACTTAAGTAAGCCTCAACCAAATGTTATGAGACTTACACACAATACTTATTACCACAAAACTCAGATCAAGTTCAAATTTGGGTAGCGTCACTTTTACCGTTCTTCAGTTATGTCCCTTTATAACTATATGATATGCAAGTGGGGGCATCATCTGTGTCCACATGTGGACACTATTCACATTTATTTTTTATTTCGTTTTTATAAATATGGAATTAGCCAGGTTTTTGTAGATTTAAAAATAGTATTGGAAATATCCAGAAATACAACTTTTAATGAAATTACTTTTGCTTTTATTTAAAAGATCTGATCATGCAACACAGTAAAACAAAATAATTAGAGATCAACAAGTAAATAGATAATTGAAACTTTTTGAGCATACACGCATATTAACCTTAGAACATTCAAAAGAATCATAATTGCGGAAAAATATACCTTTTATTCATGAAAGAAATGCTTTTTCCATGCTACAGTTATTTTCTATAGTATGCACAATGATTTAAATAGATATTTTTTGTTAACGGTTAAATAATTTTTTTCAAAATTGGTCATAATAACTTGGGCGTGATTTCTTTTTCTATTGATTACATGATAATTGAGATATTATAAGAATTAGAAACATGGCATATATTTGTAAAGAAAAGAACATAGTTCTGTGTTTTATTGTAAAATAATCTTTTAAAATTCATATTTACTAAATCCATTTTCATTTAATTATAATCTTGTATATATATATATATATATATATATATATATCAACCAAAGTTTAAAATTGTTCAATACAAGTAAAAAGTGTAAAGAATGACCTATTTAAGAAAAAGTTATTAATTGTTTCACTATTATTGTCTTTTGTAGGGACATGTGTAATATTTTTTTGTAAATTTGCTATTTAGAGTAATTATACCCACATTATATTATTTATGGTTTTCAAATGACTCGATCGGGTTCTGTATAATAGATGTTTTCAAAACTAATGAAAGAGAGCATAATTCAAAAACAGTCATATAAAACAAATACTAATTGCAAGCTGTCATTTGGTATCTGAAATGCAGTCATCTTGATATTAAATAGTTGTTTGTTTATCTGAATCCGTAAATAATTTTTAAACAATAAGTGCTATCAGCCATCTTAAAAAATGAATGAGTAATGAATAGAGTTTTCAATCTGTCAGTTTAATCGCTAACGACAATTAGTTCAAAAATGATTTGGTCATTTAAATTACATGTATTTTGTGATAATGATGTAAAAAATCTTTGGTATTGCCCTGACTGACACCAGTATCAAGTCTTAAATCAAATCAAGATCGTGGTAGTGTACTTAAGTAAACATACTATATCAAATTCACCAAATCCTTGAATTTATATGAAGTCATGATTAATGTCAATACATGTTATTGTACTGGATGGTCATGAAACAAATTTCATAAAGTACATTTTGGTAATGTGATGAGAATAAAGCCTCCAAACCAGGACATAACATGAACAAAAAGGCTTTCAATCTTTGTTCTGGGAATTCTTTGTATTTGTTTTTCAAATTTTTTTACGAGGCTAAGTTAAAAACATAATAATTTATGGAAAGGATAACAGAAATTTAGAAAAATATTGGACAGTGCAACATCAACCATTCATTATATGCACTAAATATGCATCAACAATACCCTTAGCATCTATGTTCTTAAACTGTGAACAATACATATCATGTACAGTACCAGCCATTAAGCTGTATGAGAATATTCATTTATTACTACTGTTAAACAAGCAGATATCAAAGTATCTACCTAGTTCTTAGTCATAAGTGCTGTTAATAAAACATAATTAATGTTCATTACAATGTACTTACTTTTAGACATAAGTGCTATCAAGTTATCTACTTATTCATAAAAGCTATCTACTAAGAAAAATGTTATTTATATATTCATAAGTGCTATCAAGTTAGAAACAATTAATGTTATCTACTTATTCTTAAGTGCTATTTACTAAGGAATATGTTATTTTCATAGTTATAAGTGCTATCAAGTTAGAAACAATTAATGTTATCTACTTAGTTGTAAGTGCTTTTTATAAAGATGCACTGTTATCTACTTAGTCATAAGTCCTATCCATTTGAAACAATTAATGTTATCTACTTAATCATAAGTGCTATTTACTAAGGAATATGTTATTTTCATAGTTATAAGTGCTATCAAGTTAGAAACAATTAATGTTATCTACTTAGTTGTAAGTGCTATTTATAAAGATGCACTGTTATCTACTTAGTCATAAGTCCTATCCATTTGAAACAAATAATGTTATCTACTTAGTCATAAATGCTTTTAACTAAGTCACAGTTAATGTTTTCTTCTTAGTTTTATGTGCTTTTAACTAAGAAACAATTATTGTAATCCAGGGAATCTACTTAGTCTTAAGTGCAGTTAAATCAAAGTGAAGAAGCACTGAAAAGATAATAATTATCTAAAACAGGGAATCTCATTGGCACTCATACCACATCTTCCTATATCTAATCAATGGTTTTGATACTTCAATTTTTATACGACCGCAAAAACTTTGTGGGGGTTCAATTTTTTCTCATTTCAGATTTCAGAAATTAAAAAAAAAAATTCTTCAAATATTATTTTTTTTGCAAGAAAAAAGTGAGGGGGAGGGGGGGGGGGGGGGGGTCAATACGCAACAGCATAGTGTATTGCACAAAAGCAAAAAAAAAGGGGGGAAATTTTTTCTCATTTCAGATTTCAGAAATTAAAAGAAAAATTCTTCAAATATTATTTTTTTTTGTGGGGGGGGAGGTCAATTCGCAACAGCATAGTGTATTGCACAAAAGCAAAAAATTGAATATAAATTCAAATCATATAACCAATTCTAAGTTCTTTGACTACAGTTATTCTGTGTCAGAAACCTATTATGTGTCAAATATTTAATTACAATCCAAATTCAGACCTGTATCAAGCGCGAATATTGTGTCCATTTTTGCCCCAACTGTTCAGGGTTGGACCTCTGCGGTCGTATCCAGCTGCGCTCGGCGAAGCAATTTATTCAAATTTCGGTCAACTTTTATATGGATGTAGGTGTTTCCTGAATTCAAAACACTTTTTTCATGTGGAGTTTGCAAGCTCTACTAGCTCTACTAGCTTCTTTTTATTGTATTTGGTAGTAGCAATAAGTGTAAATTTGAGTTCTTAATCCTGGCACCTTAAATTAACAACTAGATTCAGAGGATTTAACCTTATATTATATACAGCTAGATTCAGTGGATTTCTCCTTAAGTTAACAGCTGGATTCATGGGATTTCTTTTAAGATTAACAGCTAGATCCATGGTATTTCTTTTAAGATTAACAGCTAGATTGATGTGATTTATTCTTAGATTAACAGCTAGATCCATGTGATTTATCCTAAGAATATCAGCTCGATTCAGTGGATTTCTTATAGATTCTCAGGTTGATATATAGTATTTACAAATTAATTACACCTTATCTAAGAATGCTGGATTTTGATTGGTTGATAGCCAGTGTATTTTTCACCAATTTACTTTTATCTAATGAATATCGTTCATTTTTTAACGGCGCCAGGGTATATGGAAAAGGATATGCCTTTTTTACCCTCTCTGCCATGGTATTTGCCAAAAAATACTCTATCCGACTGGACGCTTGTAACGTCACGATCATCATTGCGTTTTTATACGTTAACATTCGGTGTAATTAAACAGATATATCATGTTTAGGAGGGGTATTTGCGAAAAATACCAGTCTTGAGAATGAATTTCCCTCGCCTTGCGGATTGGGAAATTTACCATTCTCTCGACTGGGTATTTTTTGCAAATACCCCTCCTTTACATGATATATCTGTTCAGTATCCTTAGTTTAAAAGCTAGATTCAAGGGATTTTTCCTTAGATTCATAGGTTTATTCATTAGATTTCTCCTTAGATTAACAGCTAGATTCAGATGATTTCTCCTTAGATTAGCCTGAGTTCTAGCTGATTTCTCCCTAGAGTAACCTGAAATCAGTAATGCTCAGGAGAAACAGCTTGCTTTTTTTACCGATTGAGCCATTTTGATTTTATTAACACCCTATTTTTTAAAAACTGCTTTTGATAGATTTAAACCAAACTTGACCATTTGCAAAGAAAAATTATTACAAAATGTATTCGATATACTGTAAGTACTTAACATGTGCTTCAGGATCAGGTAAATAAAACATAAGCTTGGCCTATTATGGAATGATACAAGAGAAATAACAAAAACATTAGAACATATATATATATGCTTTGCTTTATATTATATATACAATTTGTTTTTCAGTTTGAAGGTTGTGATAAGGCATTTTCACGTCTTGAGAACCTGAAGATTCACTTGAGATCTCACACTGGGGAGCGGCCATATTTATGTACACATGCAGGCTGTACTAAAGCATTCAGTAATTCTTCTGACAGAGCCAAACATCAACGAACTCATCTGGATACGGTAAGTGATTGGTCTGTGCTAAAAATTTATTGGTCTAGGCATAATCAGAAATTTTTATTCAAGCTACCACACACTTAAACAAGACTTAATTTAAATAAAGATTCATCCAATTTTGAGGATACATGACACACTATAAACCAACGTACTTTCACAGATGCTTTATTTCGTGTTTAGCCCCTTTTAGCCAACATCACAGCGAATTATAATCAGGGTTTTCTAATTTCTTGATGTATTTATATAAGGGAAGACCCAAATGTTACATGTTAGTGAGGATTTAGATTTGGGCTATTAATCAAGTCGTGAAAATAAATCACATGCAAAATTTAGTTGGTTTACAGTAGTTTCTTTACTACTTGTTTAAAAAAAAATAATATTGCATTATACGAGACCAAAAAACTGAATCAAAGTTGCATGTATAAACAAACAGAAATGTTACACTTTAAAAATTTTAAAAGTACCCTTGAACATCATCTACACAAAAGTGATGATGTATAATCTCTACTATGTAGGTGTCATCAAATGTTTGTGGTTAAACTTTTTTAGCAATACCAAATGTTGCACTATAATGATTCAGACAACTTATGATTTTGTGGTAACGAGCCATATATGCATTTCCATCATAACTTGATATTTTATGATCAAAAAGAGAATTTTAACTCTTTTTGATCAGTTTAAATTCATTTGATTTGAGAAAATTGAAAAAATTACATATATTGGATGTTTTGTAATTAAAGGTATGGTAGACCGACTACTTCCCTTTATAGTACCTTTTCTCAGAACCAGAAATGTTTACATTACAAGTTTTATCCTTGACATATTGGGCTATTGAGTATTGCTTTGCATAGTCATGATAAGATATGGCATGTTCATAATAACATTTTTTTAAACATTAGAAATTAAAAAAAAATCCTTTTTTAAACATTTTATTTTAATTTTAATCAGTCTTTTAATCTTTGATAACAAGAAAAGCATAGACTTGTTACTAATTTTATCATAACAAAATCAAAAGTGAACTAAAATGTACTCTTTAATAATTATAAATCAGTAAAGGGAAGGTCTTAAGCTTATACTAATTCATGATTACACAGTTTCATAAATTTTGAATATTTTATTATAGAAATATTTAGATAGATTTTTAGAAAATGACAACTTGTATGTAAATGATAATAATTGGAGAACAGCAAGATTTAATTATGTCATTTGAAATTAAACATATAATTCTGTTTACATTTAACAGGTATAATAATCCACTTTATGTTTTATCACAAGTTATTTTACTGCAATGCTGTTAATTTTGTTTATCAATTATTTAAATGTTGCAAGGAGAGACATCCTTAATTGAATCCATTAAATCATTATGACACTGTCATGTCTGAAAGTATAAATTGCAGATTTGCAAAAATTTAGTCTTTAATACATCATATATGAATGTGGTAAATATGTCAGGTATAATGAACACAACAGATGGAAAACTCTTCTTACCGGTAATGAAGCAAGAATTTTTCATTAAATTTTGATTGTTTGATTTAATTTTGCATAAAAAAAAAAACTTATGATGATAAAATAATATAATATAAAAAAAACGAAAAAATGCATGGTTGTAAAAAATATAGCATTAGCTAACTAGAATATAAAAATTAAGATATAAGATGTAGAAAAATTATGTTTATTCATTATAGTTTTTATCGTGTAAAAATTGTTTTAGTAAACAGTTTCAGTTCTAAATATAAACGGTAAATGAACTTCATAGAATCACGTGGAACCTTTTTATCCTTGACCTTTTTAAACGTAGTGCTAAATGGAATCTGATATCTTTATTAAAATTCAATAATAATCTTAATCTTAAGTATTCCTCAATACAGATCAAGCTGGGACAATATTTTGGCTATTTCATATCAGCTTGACAGTTTTCGCCTTGATCCTCGTTTAATAAACAATTAAAAAACCTGTCCTGTCTTGCCAGGACATGGGATCATTGTCTGTTTAAGAGATGATTATTAAATACTTATTAATACTAACAATATACTAACAAATAAGAATTGAGGGTAGCTAAGTCTTTAAAGAATTGAGATAATAAGTGTTTTATTTAAAGAAAACAAGGATTCATAATGGAAAAAAGTACTCCAAGGTTAATTGCTGCGCCTGGTATATGAATGGGGAAAAACCGTATTCTAAACACGCCTTAAGGTATAAAAAATGTCAAAACTAATTAGTTTGGTGTACAAATATTAAGGGTGCCCTTTGTATAATATTTGTGCATTTGACCTGTTAGAATATTTCATGTATAGTGTAATATTAAATGTCACAGTAATAGAATTGTGTATTGTGAAATCATCAAATGGTGTTGATTGAAAAATGTTCTGTGTCATACATGGAGTTCATTTACTCCGGAATTTCAAATTTATTTCATCAAGTTATTTTTGTTAGGCCCCATCTTTGCATTCAATGTCACTCAACTTGAATGACTGGGGCTGTATTAAAGTATTTACTAAACTGTTTTAAGAAGAGGACATTCAGTAATCATTGCCCAAAAGTGAATTTTTTATGAAGAAAATATTTTCTTAACTTAAAGAAGTTACTGGTATGTTGTAATCATCATGAGCAGTATACTCAGATCTGAATGCAGTGCAAAGCATTCTGGCAAAAAAGGGGAGACAATTTATTTTTTTGATTAAAGCATGGTCAGATATTGATTCACTTCCATAAAAGGGGGTCTTGTAGTCAAACGGTTCAGTAATCTGGTCTGCATTGATGTTGACAACATGTACAAATGACTTAGGTATTCAATTGACCTTGGTACGACATGGTCTATTTCGTGCACGTTTATAATTTGCATATTGCTGTCTCATTGACCAAACCCCACATCTCTTTTCATTCTGACATACATGTATGTAGAACAGATCAAATTAGATAATGTGTTAATGAAAGAAATCCTCTATTGACAAGAAAATATGAATTTTTCATTTCAATTTGTACTATATATATATATTATTAAGTTTCTTGACATATTTTTGTTTGATTTTAATGTTTGAAGAGCTATTGGAAGTAAATTTACACAAGCCCTTAGGTTTTAAAATTGCATGAAGTTGAATTTATTAAAAAAGACTTTTCTTAAAAGCCAACATGTATTAAGTTTATCTAACTTCTATTATTACTTTGATCTTACGTCACCTAGTTTGCAAGATATATGCATGGTCATAATGAAACATTTATTTAGTGCTATTTGATTTTTTCAATGAGCAAACATTAATTTATATTTAGATATCTAGTTGCTTGGCGATAATATTTACTTTTCATGTTAAAGGTATTACATACAAAGCTCAAAAGCTTAATCTAAGGAAAAAGTGTTGTATTGTTAAAAAAATCTTATTTGTCAATTTCCAAAAACATAACTTATGTCAATAAATGTTATTAAAAAGCGGAAAAACTTATTCTCTTTGATACTTTGTATTTAGATATTGACTGTTTCGAAAAATAACATAGTATAGAGCATAATGAGAAACTTCAACATTTAACATTTGGCAAGATTTCAAAACTTGAAGTGAAAACAGCTGTCTTTCCTATAAAAAAATTAAAAGGGGAACTCATTAGGGCTATGCAGTCTGTATATGTCTTAAATATAGGTTCAAACATTTCTTTTTGGTTTCAAAGGTTCAATCTATAACTTGAATAAATTTCAGTTATAAACAGAATTAAAACAGAAACTATATTTGAGTTCATATAATATTCACTATGATATGCATATATGTTTATTTCCTATGAATATTTGAGATATTTCTATGTTCTAAGGGTTAACACACACAGGCACTTGTGTCCGAATTTTTTTTACCTATATTCTTTAATATAATATTAAAGTACATAAGTCATTTTTTTTTCAGAGACAAGTGCCTGTGTTAATACTGGCTGTTATAGAATGAATCTTACTGGAACAGTTTTTAGTTCAATTATGTAACTGCACATCACAATAGATGTTTTTAGGCATCATTAATACCATTTTTAAATGTGATTTTAATTACTTGAATCTATGGTGCAAGGACATAAGTATTTGTGAAAACAAATTATACTTTTATTTACTTTTGCCTTCAAAATATATTTTATGCCCCTGTATGGCAGAGGGGCATTAATTAAGTGTTACCCTTGTCCGTCTGTAGGTATGTCCCAAAATTAGTTTCTGTTCTCTAACATTAGTTTGCCCTAACCAAATGTTATGAAACTTATACACTTTGCTTATTACCACAAAACACAGATCAAGTTTGAATTTGGGTTGCGTCACTTTTACTGTTCTTGAGTTATGTCCCTTTATAGCATTACATGCAAGCGGGGGCATCATCTGTGTCCCATGGACACATTCTCCATTTTTTTTTTTTTAAAGAATTGTTATCTAAAACATATAGCAAAAAGTTGTAATGGGAAATAATTTATTTCCATTCAAATATGTATATCTTTTGTCTGTTAAAAGATTACATTAAATTAAAAATGATTGCATACATAATATCATTTATTATTGCAATTGTTGAATAACAAACAAAAATGTGAGATTAATTATAGCAATTTCAGCAAATGGTCTATTTAAATAATGCTATCAAAATCTAGAATGCAAGTTATTGTTTTTTTGCAAAAACCTATCCCGTCGCAATTTTCGCAATAATTTCTGAATTTACAGTTCTTAAAAAATCTACAGCTAAGTAACTCTTTCTTTAAATAGTGTCAGATCTCTACAGAAAAACTACACCAAGTTCATATGCACTCAAAACATGTTTATTTAAATGAGTTTTAAATTTTGAAGTATTTACTTTTATCGTTACAGAAACCCTATGCTTGTTCAGTGCCAGGATGCAACAAACGTTATACAGATCCTAGTTCACTACGCAAACATGTCAAAAATCACAACCAGAAAGATCCACAACAGAAAAAGAAGGTAAAACTAAATCAATGTGTTTATTTTATACCATTTATGGCAGTTGAAATCTTTTATATTTATAACGTTTGTCAACAGTTTGGTAAGTGTCAGAAAATAGGATATTTTTGGAAGTTAGAGTTTTTGACAAGTCCTATTATTATATAATCAGTTCATAAAGGTATGTGTTTTTATAGCGCTAATGGTCCGTGGTTGAATTGTAGAACATTTTTACAAAATTCCTCGACAGTTAAATGTATGTCATGGTGAATTTGGTATTTATGGCATATGGCATATGTTTGATAGTTACTGACGAATTTTTTCTTAATTTCAATAGACTCTGGACGCTGAAGAGCTTGACCTATAGTATAGACACTTGTCTACTTTTGATAACCATTTTTTGCTTATTTGTGTCATTGGGTTGCTGTCTCATGGATGTATACCATTCTTTTATTGATTAAGTATTTTAACAAACTTAGATCCTGATTTTACTCCAGGTCTGATATATTTCAGCACTATTTCATGTCAGGGGGCCTCACCAATATTTAATGTTTTGAAAAGTTTTGCCTCACATTATTAGATAATTGTGTCAAATTTGGATGTAAGTAGAATACTTTATATTTCTGACTAATAATGATAACATAATAAAATGTTTATGACTTCCTATATAGTAGAGTAAGTATTATACCTGATTTTATATGTAGACGTTTTTCAACTTTAAATGAAATGTACTACAGTTTGAAGTAAAACATTTTGTCTGTATAATGAAGTGTAACAAAGCTGTATTCTCCATTGGGAAATTATATGATATTTAAACTTTGTGATAATGTACATGTAAATTGGTGTGCATTACAAATGCATAAAAGATAAATGTCCAACAGTTAAGGTAATTGTTAGAATTTCACCACCTGTATGTTATATTATTAAATCAGCATGTCACCCAATATTGTTAACAGCCTATATTTCCAAACAAGGATATAATGAAACAGTTACATGTCCTGTTCTTTACGGAGAAACAGTTTCAGGTTTACACTTGTCATCTTCGATAAGTAGGAAAGAATGACAAAATATGATACCTAAATTTTAAAGTTATTTAATACTAAAATTGCTGTTTAAAAACCTCTATTTTAAAAATTTGATGGAACAGCTATGAAAACATTACATTATTTGAAAGTTAAATAAGTTGCTACAGAATGTAGCCACTCTGGCGAAAAATGATTGTAAATTGTTTGTACAATTACATTTTCTACAAATAAGCTTTAGCAAATAGGTTCTATTTTGTATTGAGTATGTTAAGGTTTAGAATAAAGAAAAGATTTGATAAATCAACAATAGATGTTAACAATAATATATTTTTATAAGTGCTTAAGATTATTGTTCAAATTTGGTGACTCGGGTCATTATGTAGATAAGTAAACAAATCTTGGTACAAGAAAGGGACTTATTCAGGTCAAATAAAATTTCAAGGACCTTTGGTTAACCTTGTACCAGATTTTCAGAATCAGTGTAACATCACATGACAGTTGTTCCATCAAAATGAGTGTAGTAATGATTATTTAGGGCTTCAGCATTTGTTAAATTGTGCATCAGTGATTAGGAATGCAAACATAAAAAGGTGTAATCAAAGTACTGAAGTACTGAACATCGGATGACCACAAGTTCTTGAGGATGGTCAAAAGCACTTGTCTCAGAAAAAAACAACATATCTCTTTACCTGAAACTGAGGTTAATGTACAGAGATATATTTTTTTCTGAGACAAGTTCGTGCGTGGATGATGAATAAATGACAGGAAATTCAACTTCACCGTAATAACTATTATATTGTAGTGATACAAATCAGTATACATGGTGGACACTTTTCTGTAAAAATTCGATTTTTCTAAGATTGGATACGAGTAGGCATTCATATTTTCCCGCAAAAACAATTACAGAGTTACCGGTCCTCGCAAAAAGTTCTCTGAGATATTCTTCCGCATGCTTTAACACAATTTTTCGGTACGTCTGCATTGATATTATCATTGATTTTGTACTTATATATATATATCTAACTACAAAACATTTTCATATTATTAATTTATGTTGTAAACAAAAATATTTTTATCAGTATTCATTGAAGAGATGTATTTATATCAAACGATAAGGAATGTTATTTTGCATTCGTTTATGTGCGCATATTTATCATGTTTATAGATCGTTACAAACCCAAAACTAATTTACATAATGGAAATCTAGGCGATAACAATACATCTGAATGACCCCAAGGTCATCGCGATGTAATAAAATGATTATAGGCAATCAAAATATAAACATTTTGAAACTTTGCTAAGTATGAAATGAAACCAAAAGTCTTACTTATACATCTAACAGTATTTATTACAGCCGAAAACCGGCATTATAAATAATAAAAGTTAGGGCATTGAAAAAAGGGTTTTTTATTTGATAAGATAGATACTTGACAGTTTGTGTAATGTTAGATAAATAATTACCGGTAGATGTGTAATCAATATACATTTCTAAAACAGGTGGACCATATGCTCAAAAAGGGGGAAATTAGATTTTAAGTCTAATTCAGCTAATATGATGATTGGTATCCTAATGACATCTGGGTGTTGAAATTTCATTTTCCAGACAAAATGTTTTGAGCTTATGATAAACAGCACCTTTACCAAACTTAGTTTGATAATGTAAAGAACTCTATTGACTTTAAGGTCAATAGGTCATGGGTCAAATCATATCAGTACAATGTATTAGATAGACTAAAAATTGGGCAAAATTTTGGTTCCACTCTATATTCTTTTAGGCATTTGACCAACATTCATCAATTTGCTTGAGAAGGTCCCTATGAAAGAACAAGATCCCAGTAGATTTTTGGACTTGTAGGTCAAAGGTCAAGGTCACAATACATATTTTCCATCATTTGACAAAATGTCAGCATCACAAAAACCTAAAAAAAAAAAATTAGAACTCAAATTTTCTATTCTGTCATATATTTATATCTTTCTCATTAGACTTTCTGTGTCTATTGATATTAAAATGAGCTGTTGCTCCATCTGTTGAAACCTGTACTGCTGTCTTTGTTTCATGCGAAGGGGGATTAATCTCATGCCACCTATTTGAACAACAATCGAAGTTTTGAGTCACAATATTTTGATTACAGTGTTCTTTTCCTAACATACTTTCGTCCTCAATGAAAAGTAGCTCATTGGGTCGTTTTTGTTAAAAAGAGTTATACATGTTAAATGAATCGTGAAAATTAATGCAGGACAAATTTGTTCACTGATAAGGTGGGAATGAAGCTAATTTTTAAAAGATTCCTTTTAAAGTGCGTAGCATTTAGTAGAAGTATTTACTACAAGGGTCCTGAGTTTAAAGATGATGGATCGAATTTCTATTTGTCACAAAGAAACTTACATGACAACTTTAAAGAGTTGTGCAATGTAAACAATCTTTAATAAATGTTTATAATTGCTTTCCATACTTCAATTATTGTTAACCTAATAAAATCGTGACTAGACAAGATTCCAATTTTTGTAGTTGAAAGCGTACATTTAATATGATTTTAAAGCTTCAGCAGTTATTTGGACTAATTTAGATCCAGAGCAAGCTTGATCACAAACTTCTCAAGATTTCAGCTCTTTTAATAGCCTTGGCTCTCATAACTTAAGAGGCATGTTATGTATGAATCCATTCTAACATCAGTGTATGAATAGTCCATATAATCACATGTCATACTTGGACTTTTGGCTAATGTTTACATTTAATGAGCCTTAAATTTTACTTTCATTCATTGCATCCTATTTTTGAGCTACCATTAGCATCAAACAGGAAATTTTTACCTAAATAAATTACCGTTCTGGTCATATGGGGTACCCCATCCCCAACCTCTTTCATTTGTTATTATGATGTCTTTACTTCAAAGAAGGGACATATAATGTTTTAAAACAGTGTTTCTTCTTCTGGTTCTAGTTCTAGCTCTTTTCATACAACCTTAGGACCTTTACTTTTTCAACTTTTGACACTGCCTTATGATATTTGGCATGAAGGTGAATTACCATATGAAGGTGTGTCGCATATCATCAAGACCTTCATATGATCTTGACATTTGACTTCAATGTCAAAATACCGGTACTTGATTTAAGAAAGATTCATGTCTGGAGCATGACTTTTATCCTTTGACATAGGCTTTTGATATTTGGCACATGGTTGCAGCACCTCAAGACAATGTCACTTACCATGGAAGGTTACCTACAAGGTCAAATAGTAGATTTTTATTCAGGGGAGACATTAGTTTTACTCCAATAAAATGGTTCCACCTACCGTAGTTGTTATTCTGGTTTTTAATAGTCATGAATAATATCTACTGCTCTGGACTCTGCATGGAATCAGGGCATCAGAAAGCTAAAGTTTTCTTTTTTGGCAAGGTAATTTGTACAGCTTTTGAAGTTTATAAAATTTTTAATTTAACAATGTTTGAAAAACTAACCAGCATGCTTGTTTAAAGCAGGACTGGTTGTTAGTATAGATTGTGTAATATTTATTTATAATTATTTATGAAAATGGTGGTCAGTACAGGTTGGTTATTTCTATGATATTTAAACCTGATAATACAAGTATTGAACATGACATAAAACATTTGTTGTACGTAAGAAATTTTCGGTCAAACAATCAGGATTGAAAAAAATTAATCAAATACTGTAAATTTAGAAATTATTGTGATGTTTTTATTAATGCAAATAATGTGACTTGGTGATTATCACATTAATAAGAACACACATTTTGAAATATAATACATAAATCTGTAAGCAGATTTTCATGAAATCACAATAACAAATGCATGCAATAATTACAGTAGATAATATAAAATGTATTCAAAAACAAAATAAGAATACTTTTTATTGTGTAAAACATTTTCAATGGAATTTCTAATGAAACATTTTCTACTTCAGATGAAAAAGGAAGGCGAAAGTTTAGGTGGTGGTGATATATTGAACAATTGTCTGACAGTGCAACAACTACATATGGAGTCTGCACCACAGAACCATGAAAACCAAGAGAATATGATCCGAGGACCAGTCACTGGACCAACTACTGATCTTTATTCTGGTACACATCTACTTTTCCTCCAAATCTTGAATTCTTTTAATGAAATATTCTTTCAAAATACTTTCATGTTTGTAAAAATGTCATTCCCTATGAATTCAAAAGATCTAGTGTAAATGAATGAACATGAAGTTCAAAGCTCATTTCATAAAAATGATGATTTGATATCATCACTTACCTATTATCGGTACATTCAACTTTTAAACAGAGTAGCGTTTTATCCTTAGAAATTTAATATTGCCTTATAATAGGAAGTTAAATTTGATAATTTGTTATCTTAAGATTAAATCTTTGACAGTTTAAGATAGGGAGCTTATTTTGCTTTTGCAATAAACAATAATCTACAGAGAAAAGAAATTATTGTATGATCAAGTTTTGTCTAGTTGTTCATCTGTTGTTAGTTCACAGATCGGGATTAAAAGAGGGGGGGGGGGGGGGGGGGGAAGAATTCATATTCATGTGCCTGAAGACTTGTCAGTGTCTTGTGTCACATCTGACTGTTTTGGTTAACTTGAGAATTTGGTGTAGATGGCAGACCTTTGATTAATTTATTCACAACTGTTTTATACTCTGGACGATTTAGAGCTTGACATTTTTGTTAAGATAAATGCCTATTAATTAAGACGCTTTGTTAATCTCTAGATGTCTTTTGGTTATTTGTGATGTTAGGTTGCTGTCTCGTTGACCTATTCATCACATCTTATTTGTTCCGAAGAATACTTAAAGAAACTGTATCTAACGTGTCGAGAAATAAATAAGATCTCTAGGAAACTTTAAAATCTGTAGTCAGTCAAAACAGTGATTAAAGATTTTAAAAATTAACAGTATAATTAAGTTATCAGTTACAGTACTTTAAATTTAAATGTTTTCTTTTTTGTTTAAAATTTATTAAGAAAGTGTTGTTTGTCTAATTGTCTTTTTAATTTATGGCCTTTAATGAAAGTAAATGAACAAAGAAAATGTTCATATTTTTAGAAAAATAACAAGTTTAAATGGAAACTATTATTATAACCATTGTTATAAGTCTTAAAACCATGATCATATCATTTGACAAAGTTTTTAAAAGACAGAGCTATCAAGTGATTCATGAATAAATGACGTAGATGACGACTTGACAATATAGCCTATAGTCACTGACCAATCAACCTTGATGTTATTCGGAAGTTTAAATGATAAAAAACAAAAGAAATTTACTTTTCTGACTTGTGTATTCATACAAGAATTTTAAAATGATTAAATTTAAGCAATAGATTGAGACTATCAAATTGATCTGACAGTATTCTAATACACAGACTTGTGCTGTAATTAAAAGATTTCGTTAGTACCTATCTGTCCGGACTCAACCCTTAAAATACAAAAACAGCTTTGTGTTTTGTAAACGATAACATGAGGGTTTGGATAAGGGAGATTTTTTATCGGGAAAGTTATTTCTATTTATTTATGACTAAATTGGTAAATTTCTTGAAGGGATATTTTTTTATGTAGACAAATATTTTCAAATTTGTCCTGCTATATTGGAAGTGTTTGTGAATATTTTAATGTTATGTAGATATTTCCAATCTGATTTGATTTAATTAGGCATAATTTTGAAACAAGAGAGTACCTTATTTGTATTCTAATTCTTTAATTCTGAAAGTGTTTTAAGTTGGATTCAATGCATACATTCTTGCTTTTATTTAAAACTTTTAATTTTAGACTCCCCTCTTTTGTATGGTTCTGTGCTATATGGTAGGACTAGTTTTTTTGGTACAAAAAACACTTGTGTTAAGTTAACATAAAAAATTTCATACATACCCTCATTGAATATAACGTGATGAAATTCAGATCATAATTAAAAGATATATGTTATTTTCTTGCTTCAATAGTTCAGGAAAAGACACGATAGCATTAAACAACCAAAACAATATAACATTTTGTGCAAAATTTGACGCCTGAATGGGAAAATATAGATTGTGATTTTGGGAGTTGTGTGCCAAAGAAACACTGATCTAATTGATTTGATCAAGCATGATGTCATAGTAATTAATTAATGATAATTCACCTTTCTCGGCCTGGTACTGGGACTTTGCCCACTTCATATTTTTTGCATGAAACATGGGTTTTATGTGTAAAAGTACATCAAAATAAAAACATCATCGTTATGAATCACACAAATAAACAAACAAACATTGTTAAAATTAAAAAATGTTTGAGAGAAAATGAACTTATGTTGCAATGATTCAGGTAAAATTCTTCAACCTTATAATTGTTTATAATAAACAATGTTTTTTTTTTCATAGCTATGTTAATATAATACCATGAATAGTACCAATTGTTTGTACCATATGTACATTTAATGTCTCTTCAATGATTCTTTAGGCCAATTTTTTGAAAATCCAAAACCTAATATGAACTTTGAAGAGTGACATAACCAAAAAGGACCACAAAGAATAGCCTAACTCTGGCAAGGAATCCGAGCTATGCATGAGGGAGATACTTATTAGGTTAAGATGAGGAATTTTTAAAGTATTATGCCTTTAACTTGAAAGTTATTCTACACTACTTATACCTAAGTTTTAGATACATTTATTAGTGTTTATTTATCATTAACACTACTGATACCTTAGTTTTAGATATTAGTGTGGATTTATAATTATTTATAGATCTGTGGGAAAAAGTCAACGACAAGTTTAATTTTTTCAACAACGTACAAATTTGCTATAGGCCTATGTGCAGAATTGTCTAAACCATGGAAACAAGTACCACTGAACAATTAAAAAATTATAAGAAAATAGGGTTCCAACTCCCGCAAAGTTGACCTTTGGTGGATTTAGCCATTCTATTTAAACCCCCTTTGATCATATAGCTTTTTGAGTATTCTAATATTTATACATCCTTCAATTCTTTGCTTTAAAAGTTTTGGTTTGAAAGTTCCTGGTGAAGGTTAATCCAGAAAAGCACTTCGGAAGGACGCTCCAAGTTTATAAAGTGTTATTTTATATTTTTACAGTTGGAGTGAACTATCAGCCCCATCAGAATGCTGCAGCTTCCCCAGCACCAAGTGCCATGCAACAAGGAAGTCCAATGCCAAGTACAAACATAAATATGGAAGAAGAACAGTATGTATTATTTAATAAATACTGCGGATTCATTTTTATCCGTGGAATACCAATTTTCATGGGTATAGGTAAACCCAAATTTAAATGTTCAATGAAGTACACATTTCCAAAGGCTTGTATACAGACTTTGGCAAATCCATGAAACCAAATATTTACGAAAATTTTAAGTTTTCCTCAGTCCACGAAAATTAGTTTCCATGAAAATAAATTAAGCCACAGTAGTGGATTGAATGATTGTTGCTTTCTTTATGTCCAATAGAGTAAATAATTGAACTAAACATGCATAAAAAAATCATGTTTTAAATCATAATTGAGAGGCAATAACGGCTTTGAAATATATTTATTGGATTTAGTTATTTAAGTAATATTTATGAAGTGACATAAAGGGAGTTGAAAAGAGGTTATGCTGATCAAATGATTAAAGCTAAAACTGTCAGACCACTCTCCGTTGTTTATAACATTCAGCACTTACACAAAATAGTAGTAGGACAGGTAGAAACCAAACTAATTAAAAAATCAATAGTAAATGTTTCATTAATTAACACTTACCATACCTGAGAAAGTGAAATTGATTTTTCAAATGACAATTTATTTTCTTGTAGTAAATGCATTGATCTTTAACAAGTATCAGGAAGTAAGAAAAAACAATGTATGAAAAAAATTCATGTTTAAAATCAAAATGGGGAACTTGATTTATTGTGCAGGCTTTTTAAATTACTCCTTTTACTTGCCTCCATTACATTTTTGTAAGTGAAAATGAAAACTTATTTAAATAATGATGGATATTGTTCCTTTTATCAAGGTTTGGTACTTTCAACACAACACTTCCACAAAATTTCAACAGACGTAATATCCCAATGAACATGCGGACTGGGATGCAACCAGGAATGCGTCCAAATATGCAGACTGCACCATACCAGCAAGGGTATGAGACATACCTACAGAGCATGAACCAGATGCCATTAGGATTTGCAGGTAAGGGTAACAGATATATTTTGGTAACCAGTAAACTTATTATGATACAACGTAGGAAGAAAATTATTTTATTGAATAACCAATGTCAATTATTAACTGGAAGAAGTATTGGAACTTTCCATTCTTTTAATGTGGACATTATTTTAATAAGAATAGTTGCCAAAAGCATTATATTTCACACTATTTTCATGTTTGAAATTTTTCATTTATATTCAATTTCATGAATTTTGAAAACACAGTTACAAACATAATACAATTTTTTGTTTGATAAAAAGTAAAGAAAAAAAGTGTAACAAGCACTAAATTGATAAAAAGTAAAGAAAAATCTGTAACAAGCACTAAATTAAGTTTTCCAGCAAAACTCTTAGCAACATTTTCTTAACCTCATTATTAATGAATCAACAGTACAAATAAAAAAAGAAGTGCCTTTATAGATGTGTAATAGATTAATTAAGGGATAACTGTAATATTTTTTCTGTCTATGAAGAAATAACATCAAAAATGTGATGCACACTGAATAACTCGCGTAGCGGGTTATTTTAAAGTGTGCATCACATTTTTTATGTTATTTCGAATAGACAGATAAAATATTACAGTTATTTCTTAGAATTTAATTCTAAATTCCATTTTAAACCGGAGTAAACAATGAAAAAACGTTGCTGACGTCACGGTCACATGACTAAATTATGTCTATGAGCTGATAAACAAAACAACGTCAGCCAATCAGCAGACGCGTTACATCCAAAATTAAATTATTATAATATAAACTTCAAATTGAATGTAGATAACTGTGTTTTAAATATAGAAAACATATTTTTTAGATGGAGAAAATGGCCAGTTTAATTTTCGCAATAATGCCTTTGATCCAAATTTGATGACAGACATGCAGGCTATGCAAAGAAATTATCCAGGTATTTTTCTTCACCAGTTTTTTATACGACCGCAAAAAAATTTTTGTGGTCGTATATTGGTATGACGTTGGCGTCGTCGTCGTCGTCGTCGTCGTCCGGCGTCGTCGTCGTCGTCGTCGTCGTCGTCCTGCGTCGTCGTCCGAATACACATTGGTTTTCGCACTCTAACTTTAGTTTAAGTGAATGGATCTTTTTGAAATTTTACCATAAGGTTAAATACCACAAAAGGAAGGTTGGGATTGATTTTGGGGGTTATGGTACCAACAGTTAAGGAATTAGGGGCCAAAAAGGGGCCAAAAATAAGCATTTTCTAGTTTCCAGACAATAACTGTGGAGCAGTGTATGGATCTCTCTGAAATTATACTACAAGTTTCCATACCACAAAGGGATGGTTAGGATTTGCTTTGGGGGGTTATGGCTCAAACCGTTTAGGAATTAGGGGCAAAAAAGGGGGAAAAACAAGGTTGTCCTGGTTAATGGACAAATACTTTAGTACAAAACATAATTTAAAGCAGTGTAAGGGAGATAAATCAAATACATCATTGAAATTATCTCCCTTACACTGCTTTTAAATTATGTATAAAGTAATGGTTAATGAACAATAAAGATAATTTAAAACAGTGTAAGGGAGGTAATCAAAATACAACGTTTTGGTTACTTCCCTTACACTGCTTTTAAATTATGTTTAAAGAAATGCATATTTATAAAGGAAGACCAGTAAAAATATCTGCAAATGTTGCATCATTTTATTTTACAAAAAAATCTATATGAAAGATTTGACACTATATTTTTAATTCTATTATAAAATAGATTAAGTTAGCACTATGGTAAAATTAAATGGGTAATTATGGTTGCCAACTCCATTGGAAATTTGAATTGAGATTATGACCATATCTTGAGGGAAAGAATTTTTTGGGGGAAAAAAGGGGGGGGGGATAAAAAGAAATTGTGGGGGGTCATTTTTTTCTCATTTCAGATTTCAGAAATTAAAAAGAATTATTCTTCAAATATTATTTTTTTTTCAAATTTAAAATATTGAAAAATTTCAAGAAGTAATCTTTAATTGCACAGTATGGCCCATTAGATTTGTAAAATCTTTGATCACATTTATTTATTTGTTATGCCGAATCTAACAGTGTATTTAGATTTTTAATTTTGGGTCCAGTTTTCAAAATAGTCTACATTAAGGTCCAAAGGGTCCAAAATTAAACTTTGTTTGATTTTAGCAAAAATTGAATATATGAGGTTCTTTGATATGCTGAATCTAAACATGTATTTAGATTTTTGATTTTTGGCCCAGTTTTCAAGTTGGTCCAAATTGGGGTCCAAAATTAAACTTTGTTTGATTTCAACAAAAATTGAATATTTGGGGTTCTTTGATATGCTGAATCTAACCATGTATTTAGATTTTTTATTTGTGGACCCCGTTATCAAATTGGTTCATATTGAGGTCAAAAGGGTCCAAAATTAAACTTTGTTTGATTTCATCTAAAATTGAATTATTGGGGCTCTTTGATATTCCAAATCTAACCGTGTATTTAGATTTTTAATTTTGGGTCCTGTTTTTTAAATTGGTCTACATTAAGGTCCAAAGGGTCCAAAATTAAACTTAGTTTGATTTTAACAAAAATTGAATTCTTGGGGTTCTTTGATATGCTGAATCTAAACATGTGTTTAGATTTTTGATTATGGGCCCAGTTTTCAAGTTGGTCCAAGATAGGGTCCAGTATTTAAACTTTGTTTGATTTCAACAAAAATTGAATATATGGGGTTCTTTGATATGCTGAATCTAAACATGTATTTAGATTTTTGATTATGGGCCCAGTTTTCAAGTTGGTCCAAATTGGGGTCAAAAATTAAACTTTGTTTGATTTCAACAAAAATTGAATATATGAGGTTCTTTGATATGCTGAATCTAACCATGTATTTAGATTTTTTATTTGTAGGCCCCGCTATCAAATTTGTTCATATTGAGGTCAAAAGGGTCCAAAATTAAACTTTGTTTGATTTCATCAAAAATTGAATTATTGGGGTTCTTTGATATGCCAAATCTAACCGTGTTTTTAGATGTTTAATTTGGGTCCAGTTTTTTAAGTTGGTCTTCATTGAGGTCCAAAGGGTCCAAAATTAAACTTAGTTTGATTTTAACAAAAATTGAATTCTTGGGGTTCTTTGATATGCTGAATCTAAACATGTGTTTAGATTTTTGATTATGGGCCCAGTTTTCAAGTTGGTCCAAGTTGGGGTCCAAAATTAAACTTTTTTTGATTTCAACAAAAATTGAATATATGGGGTTCTTTGATATGCTGAATCTAACCATGAATTTAGATTTTTTATTTGTGGGCCCCGCTATCTAATTGGTTCATATTGAGGTCAAAAGGGTCCAAAATTAAACTTTGTTTGATTTCATCAAAAATTGAATTATTGGGGTTCTTTGATATTCCAAATCTAACCGTGTATTTAGATTTTTAATTTTAAGTCCTGTTTTTTAAATTGGTCTACATTAAGGTCTAAAGGGTCCAAAATTAAACTTAGTTTGATTTTAGCAAAAATTGATTTCTTGGGGTTCTTTGATATGCTGAATCTAAGCATATGTTTAGATTTTTGATTATGGGCCCAGTTTTCAAGTTTGTCCAAGTTGGGGTCCAAAATTAAACTTTGTTTGATTTTAACAAAAATTGAATATATGGGGTTCTTTGATATGCTGAATCTAACCATGTATTTTGATTTTGGACATTGGACCATAATAGGTAAATTAAAAAAATTCAAGTTCTTAGACCACATTCTTTCTGTGTCAGAAACCTATGCTGTGTCAAATATTTAATCACAATCCAAATTCAGAGCTGTATCAAGCTTGAATGTTGTGTCCATACTTGCCCCAACTGTTCAGGGTTCGACCTCTGCGGTCGTATCAAGCTGCGCCCCAGCGAAGCATTTTATATTCTCTACTGAAGGGCAGAGGGTATATTAATCTTTCTGAAGAAGTAAAGATTGTCAATAGGATTTAATGTTTATAGCAAAAGTGTTGACTTTTCATTGGATAAACCAGAGGTGGATATCAGCTTATATTCTTTGAATATTTTATGACATTGTAAATGATGTCAGATAAATTTTGTAATAGAACAAATATCATTGATAATGATTTCTTGTTTCAACGGCCATTTTGAACAGAAAATTTAGAGAAAAATGCAGTTTTTTAACCTGTATTTTGTTTCAAATCTGTAATTCAGATTCCAGAAAGAGTATGTAGTCTGGATGTTTTGTAGTTGGATTGCTGCCTCATCAAACATACACCACATCTCCTTGTTTCCTAATTAAGTACTCTGACAAACCTGATGAATATATATTTTGAACTTGTAAAAAGGAATAAATCACTTGAATTTATCTTAGTAACAGTAGAATTTCTTCTTGAAATTAAATTAAAATTGGTCCTGAAGATGACATGCTTGTTGGCTAATCATGTGGACCATACTAAACAATTGCTTTGCGGTAATTGATGGGTGTTGTTGTCTATAATGCAGTTTTATCTAATTTCTTCTTGAAAATAAAAGAAATGAATTAAAAGTTAGGTCTCTGCATTGACAAAAGTAAAGTGATAATTTAGGCAGTAGTATTGTCAGCAGAATAGCATCTATCAGAAAGAGACTGCCATAAAGCTTGTGCTTTATTTTCATTCAATTTTAAATTCATAAATTATACTTCTTTTGCAGGTTTAGAAGGCATCCCTCAAGAATTTGAGAACATGCACTTTGCTGAGGAATTAACACAACACCAACAGATTACTCAGCAGTATCTTCAGCATACAGCCATTGATCGCTGCAACAGTCGAATGTCTGCTGCTATCTACGCAGATGGTACTACTTGATTCAACTCAAATTTATCAGACTTTTTAGCTTAGATAGAATTGTACGCAACACAAAAATGTTGTTGTTGTACAACACAATATTTTGATTTGTAATGATTGTACAATATTGGACTGTGATATATATACAGAATCATACAAAAATTATCACTTTGTAGAACACACAAATCATGTATTTATTACTACATTTAAAAACATTGTATAAGGGGCAAAATCTTTAGCCAGTTGTGAAAAATAGTGAACTCAGATTGATGTTTTGATTTTATAATCTGAGATATTATATTGTTTGTTTGATTTAATTGTTTTATATTATTTAATTATTTAATAAATGTTGAGCTATTTTTTTGTTGATAATGGTTGTGATTATGAATTATCTGCCCCTTGTTTGACATTCCTAATGCATATTTTTATCATTAAAATATATTTTTGTTATAATCATGGTTTGCTGTGTGAAAAAAATGTATCATTGTGCCATGTAAAAATAATCAAAATATGTTAAGTTTAGCATATTATTATATATTTTAGTATATGTCAGGTTTCATGCATATTTTGAAATGAAATTGAAAATTTTATAAGCTTTTGCAAGTCGCTTGTGGACTTTTAAGAAGGGGCTAGATTTTGATCTTGTATTTGACACATGTGATCCCCTGTTGTCTGTGTTTGTCTTTCCTTAAGTGCTACTGTCATTTAATGTATAATGATTGCCAAATACTTGTTGATTTTAAAAGTAGTTTATGTTACTTATACATTTTAATTGATCTTGTTTAACATAATATTTGAAACGACTAACACCCATCATACCTTAAAAATGTCTTGTTCTTAACAATCGTATTATAAGTAATAGTTGCTACGATTTTGATAAAATTTTATGAAAGATGGAAAGCAGATATATTACAGAAATAAGCGTGTGCATGATGTTTTCATATTATTTCTTCAAATCAAATGTATGTATTTGTGCTGTGTATTTTCTTTTATTTTCGCTTGACTTTCCTCGTCCCAACATTTTAACTTTAAGGAATGACCAGCAACTGTGCAATGAGGACTGCCCAATTTGTCAGGTGTGAAACAATACAAAATCTTCTAAATCTGAAATGGAAGTAAACAGTAAATGTAAATTTCATACTTAATTCACTTTGTGTATATATTACTGAAAATCGTAGCTACTATCTGTTGAAGTCCGTGTTCAAGTCTTCATTTACATTCTTTTCTTAAATTCTATTTATAGAACGAGACTTTACTTTTATAAGTCATAAAATGTCTGTTTTCATTGTAACTAAAATTGTAAGTCCAATTGATGATTATAATTAGGACTGAGATGCTAGATAAACTTTTTAGTCTTGATTAGTCTAAAACAAGTTCTGATGTTTACTAAAATGTTTTCTTTCCTGTGTTTTTTGTCTCAGAAATGTCCTGTTAAAAAGAATGTACAAATAGTGCTTATATTTCATTCCGTGATGAATATCCTGACATAATATTGTACTTTTGTTGGTGCCGATAACAGTGAATTAATATTTATGCTATTCCAGGTTTTTTGTTTTTGAGAATCATGAAATGTTATCTGTTATTCATGCCTCCTGTGATTGTAAGGGCTATTCCATTTTGATTAATGCACCATGGTCAGAAGCTTCCTGCTGCAAGCATATACGGAGTCACTTTATGATCCATTTAAGAAAAATAAACAACCCTAGTACATTCATTGAAATGGAATACCCTAAAGAATTTTCAGTATTTAGTAATTTGTTATGAAATAGAGTTCCTTGAAATATTCAATCAAATATAAACATCATCATTGTTTTTAAAAATGAGATACACATTTTTAGATATATTTAAAGCATTGTTTAATTGACATTGTCACCGTTTCATTGAGGTACATATGTTTTTATCGTGTGCAGTTTTGAATACTGATATATCTTTAATCAGTTAAGAGATTTTTGTATATCATTAAGTTATTGTTGAATGATATAACCAAATAGAATTCAAATTATCCAAAATCGTGAAAAATGAATAGAATTTAAAAATTGGATCAATTTCTTTTCTGTGATTTTTGTAAAAACATTATATGAAATGTAAGGATAACAAAATAGTGCTATATGATTGTATTTGTAATTTATTGCACCTGCAGAACAAAAAGAATGAAATCCAAATTTCCAACAGTATTGAAAACCCGTCCTAAATTTTGTTTGCTTAAAGTGTTGTTTATATATATCCGTCCAATTGTTTGTACATTTGTATATAAACATATTTATAATCGTACCAGCTGTCTCTATCTGAAACTTTTTCCTTTTGCTTTTGGATGTTTTTTGTTTATAGTTATCTTTTGTTTCAATATTTTTAATTTTTTTTTAATTCTAAAATAAATATTTGTTTTGACAAAGATGAAACTTCTTGAGCAGTATAATGTGTCTTGTATTTTCTGATATAACTGCACTGTTTGTTCTTTTATCATGAGTTATATGTTAGAACTTATTTCTGAAGGAAGTATTTAACAATAAAGGTTACATGCCAAGTTGGACTCTTTCTTAGCTAAAAATACAATTTCGACATGAAGAAAGATCCATTGATATATTTGGCAGGCTTTTCTAACATACTCAATGTCATTCATTTTCCAAGATTTTTTACTTTTGGAACATGATCTTGATTTTTTAATTAAGATTTATCATTTCTATCTTACATTATCTTCAGATGTCTACATTCAATGATCAAAATTTCATTTTCATAAATGTAATCAGTTTAGGAGAAATTTTTGACATATACCCTTTTGGGTATAACAAATCCGTCCACTTAGTCTATTTTTGCACACATTATATATCATCATGAATTTTAAAACTTAGGGCCAAGTATATCTATTTGCTTTTAGTAACATCATTGCAAGTTGTCAAGTAGTTTCATCTTTGTCAGTAAATGTTTTATTATCGTCATCATCATATTCTATGTACACATATGTTGAAATCATCTGTTTTACACATACAAAAAAAAGACCCAAGTACCTTTTAAGGCAACTGAATTAATGAATCAATCTCCTTTTGAGTATCATAGTTTGAGCTGTTTTATTTTTAATTGTTCATCCTGATTTTAAGGAAAGTCTCTTTGGCAGTTAATAGTTTTTAATGCTGTGTTTGCAGTAAAAATATTTAAAAAAATTAGATAATGAGCACCATTATCAATAACTGTACCTTGGAAATAAATTGGTTTTGTAAACCAATGCTTTTTCACTATTTTGACTTTATTCAGAGAGTGCAATCATCCATTTATGATGTTTTGTAAATAAGTTTGAAATTTGTACTAGAACTGCATGGATCATTCTCCAGTTTAAAATATATTAGAATCTCTGGTTGAAAACAGCAAGGAAAAGTTATTGAAAATACCTGACAATCAGTTCTACGACACCATAGACAAGGAGATGTTTTTTAGAATTGTTTTAGACAGAAAACTGATTTAATAGTTAATTGATATTATAGATTAGAAATTTTTACGACACTGAATGATCCATGCATCGAATGAACTATATTTACAGCTTATAGTTGTAAGTAAAAAAAAAGAAATTTTTCTTTGTTTATTTGTGACAACAGTTCTTGATATCTGCATAAGTATATATACATTTTACACTCATTTGAACATTTAATACACCAGCAATTTCTTTTTAGTATGCTTGCATGACATAGAGCTAATAAGTATATTTTCAGTTAGAGTTAGCAGAAAAACTTTAATTAGAAAAAAAGTTTACATTTTATTGTTTCAGCAAACCACTACAAAATTATTTAACAAAAAATTGAATTTAAAAATTGTCAAAAGAAAATTTTTTATTTATTTTTATGGTTTGAATAAATGATTAAAAATCTTTTATGATTTCTGGCAGAAATTATACAAAAAATTCGCAATTTACAACTGATAAATCAGTTTTTTACAACGTCTTACACAAGTGATTTGTTTAATGTCTTTCACAGCAAATAATTGTAATTTGGAATATTTGTCAAATTCTACAGCATAGTTTTTTGTTAACCCAGCAAAGAAAACTTCAGCAAAGTGCCTTATATTGTCTTTGTGCAACACTTCTTTCTTACTGTATAAAGGCTGTGTATCAACATTTGTTAATCGTTGTTCAATAAATGGTCTTGGAAAAATATTGTGTTTTGTTTCAATAGCCATTTTTGTCTTGCTTGCGACCAATGTTGCATTGTGGAAGAGAGAATTTGGAGTGCTATTTCGAGCATAGGCAGCAACAACAATTGTCAAAGTTTGTGATGAGATTACACTGGCAAGAATTAACTCATATGTCAACATTTTAATTCCTGTTGAAAAGATATATTTTTAGACAAACTTATTATAATTAATAAATGTGACCAAAACACATATGTCTTATAAAAGTTTGGACCACACTATTACCAGGATTTAGCAAAAGCATTAATTTCTTCTATGCCTTACTTAGATGAAGATGTATATCATTTCATATTTCTATGTCCCTTGTCAAAATGGCCAGTACCCTAATTTGAGAACATCGGTAAATACAATCAAAGCTCCATACAAATACACTGTTGACACATTGTTGTTTTTTAAGGCTAATTTATACAATAAGTGAACAAATTTTGTTGATTGTATTCATCTTCTTTAAGTATATTTCTTCTTGAAAGTCCAGATAGCAAAATGTATATACATATATATTGTTATATATCAGTAGGAGCAACAACAAATAGGTATATTATGGTCTACATGTTGCAAATAAAACAGGAACATGTTTGTCCCAAAACCACTTTAGTAATGATTTAGATATGAGCAGTAGAAATAAAATATTGAGTTCAATACAGGTCATAGCAGCTATATCTAAAAGAATTTTGTCTTCTGTCATTAGATAAATAACATTTGTCAAAACTTAGATGTTTAAGTATATAAATCAAAAATAAGCTATTACATGTTTGAGGGAGTAATTTTGATGCTTTATCTTTTTTGGATCTTGTATATGTTTGGTTTCTTAAGATTCTAGGATTATTTCTTTTTATACAAAAAAGAAAGAAAAAATAGACAACTTGCCTGTCATGACCTTTGGTAGTGAAGAAAAACAGTATGCTTAATTCAAATGTTTTGTCTGGTCACATGTGAGAAAAATTATCAAAATCTTGCATTATCTATTCGTTTGTAAGCCAATTTAATGTACTGTTGACTTGAAAATTCTTTACAACAAATCCTAATATGCATATCTGTGGAATTCATTGTGAAACAGAATTAACCCTGTTTTGTATGTTGATTTATAACTAGTTTATATTTCATATACCGGTAATCAAAAGTATATAGATATGTGATTTTGAGGAGTCAAAGGATGCTGATCTATAAAGACTGTTACAATAATATATATAAGCTCCTTCATGGTTTACAGTAAATTATGCAAGACATTTGTAGTTGAATGTCTTAAAAATTCTTGTATTGGAAAAATGTAATGAATTCAACCCATAATATAATTTTTGAATTACAACTATCACACAAATTGACCGATGATTGATTTATTACAAAACAAAATTTTTCATTGACCTTACATGTCCAAAAATAGGACCAAACAACATTTTCACCACTATAAGTCACTAAACAAAAGATATAGATAAAAAAATTATAGATGCAGATCTTATTTTGATGGAAATGTGACTAAACAAAATTTAGAGTATTCGTTTTCTTTTCATTCATGATAAAAATCTGCTTTACTGCACCATAGGGAAGTGCAGTATTGGCTTAGAAGTGTGTCAAAGACGACATATGATACTCGGTGAAATCAGATATACCCTTATGCTTAATTAATCATGTAGAGTAAAACAAAGGTAGTAACAAAATGCTTCACTACCACTTTTACTACCCCACAAAGATTCACCCCAGCATTGATCATCTACACGTGTAGCTTTAGTGCAATCTAGCTGTTATTCAAAATTTATTATTCAAAATTTATTAAATACTGAATGCAGCTGTCTCCTTGTTTCTAAAGCTGATCATATACCTTGTATTGCTTTAAAAAGTTCACCACATGTACAAACTATATGATTAGAGGGTATGCCATGACATGGGAAAGGTTTGGCTACAATGACCTTGATATACAAAATAACTCTGGAAAGTCACATGCCAAAACATTACACTCAATGTGTATTTCATATGCTAAATATGCTAAAGTTTTTTGTGTCACTAGATTTTTGTATCCTTCACAAAGCTTGAATACAGGTTTTTCTTATTCCTTCCAATTTAAAACTAATATTTGAATTAATATAATGTTTTCACACATATTATTGACATTTACCACATTACTACGTACTTTAACAGGATTTGTTCATTTTCTGATATTTTGGTAATTGATGGATTGTTGTGCAATCTCCTTGTTAGTCATAATGCCATTAAATTAGTGTCGCATGGAAATTGATATAAGTCGTATTTTTCAAACAATCACCTTATTGGCGTGATGGTTTGGATGTGTGAAAAGTCACAGTATCTGCTCAATCACCTGCTTCAATACTTTGAAAAATTAGTTACTTTCAATCTTGAAATAATGAAGTTATTTTTATTTTTTACCATGATCGATAAATCTTTAATAAATTCTATAAAAAGTTCACAGAAAAGAACTATCATTTGAATTGAAGTTTTACTGCAGGATTTTTTTCATGCTGAATATTTATTGTCATCTGTTGCTAGGCCCAGGTTATATATTTTTCAGCTTTATTTCCTTTTGTACACAATCACATCTTCCTGCATTTTGTCATGGAGAATATTCATTTCCATCCTATACTTGGCAAGAGAATTTTTTTCAGTATTTACCATAGATGTTCAGTTATTACCCTTGTAATGTTGGGTTACTGTCATCATCATTGATGTTTGGTCCTTATAACTCTTTTTATTCTTTAAAATAGATCACAAAGCTATTAGGTTAGAGCCTGTTTTGTTTTAGGCCATCTCACTTAGTTGGTGCTGTATCACTTAGACTGTACAGTGTTCTATAGTTGTTAAAATCCTCTTCTTTTGGTCTCTGATAGACAGTTGTCTCATTGGCAAAAATATCACATCTCCTTCTTTTATATAAAAAAACCCAACATTTAGAGTGTCAATACACAACATTCAACAATAGACAAGAGAGACTTTACTATATACAAAGCTCTAAATCGGCTTGAATCTAGACAATTTGTGAATTAATTTGAGGAGACCATCAAAGGTCTGAATTGTCAAACAGGACAGACCTCACATAAAGATTCCAGCAATATTATTTTGTTTCAAAGAGAGGGACTTATATCTCCATCTTGATGATGGACATAGTCTGAAAATTATTGGATCAATGCAGAACTAATCATGCAAGCAATAGGTTATGGAACTAGAGGCTCCTAGGAACAGGCATACCTCACCTGGTTCCTATGTATTTTATTGAATGGTGTACCGGGTAATATTCTTTCTAATTTTACAATTATATCACAAATATCAACAAAATATCATAAAGGATGGTTATTAAATCTGAACAGAAAAAGTCATTTTCATCAGATTTTTAAATGCTGATGACAGTAATGTATTAAAAAATAAGGGCTCCAAGCAGACTGTATTGCTCACTTGGGGAAGTATGTCCAGTGCACGATGTTTTACGGATATTGTCAACATTGCGATGTCTACGGTATGGTGTCATTATTGTGCTTACATTGTATTATATCTATACCTTGTGTTTACATTGTTTACATAGTATACATTGCGATGTTGACAATAGCAAGTCAACATCATGTTTATATTGTATAACAAGTTTATACCTTTGTGTTTACATCGTTCTCATCATAGACATCGCAATGTTGACAACTGCGAGTCAACCTCATGTTTATATTGTATTCTAAGCCTATACCTTTGTGTTTACATTGTTCACATCGTAGACATCATGTTTATATTGTATACCAAGTCTATACCTTTGTGTTAACATTGTTCACATCGTCAACATTGCGATGGTAACATGATATCGTCACTACATTGTATATATCACGATGTTAACAATGTAAACAGAATATAAGAGTTCTCACAATGTTAATGATGTTGACACGATATTGTGTTAACATTGTAAATATTGCGATGTCGACAATATTGTTTTTACATTGTGCACTGGACATGGATGCACTTGACATTCTAGAATAGAACTAATACAAAGCAACAAGAATATTTGTGTTGAATGGAAACTTGTGTGGAACAAAATCTTGTCTTGCTGACAATTGTTAGCTGGACTAGAGTTTTTGTCTTTCCAATATAGTTTTCAAGATAATAGGCAAAAATTGTGATTTAGTAGCAATAAAGAGTGGATTGACAATTTCAATCATATTGACTTATTTGTAGATATTGATCTTATTTTGTTGATAGTTTTTGCTGTTTACAGTTTTGTTTATTCTACTCAGTGCTATATTTTCCACAAAAACGTAAAAATGGGGAAAAATAGCCAATAAAGGCCAATAATTACTATGAGGAATCAACTAAGAACTTCAGCCATGTTGACTTTTGAGTAGATCTTATGTCGCTGATAATTTTTACTCTTTAGTGTTTCTCTCCATCTTCTTGTTTTCACCAAAAGCACATTTTTAGCCATTTAAAGTGTCTTTCTCTATCTATTATGGTTTTCATAATTTATGAGTAACAATTGTCATTAAATGGGCAATAGCTCCTATAAACAGTAGACTGACCATTTTAGCAATGTTTGACCCATTAGTAGATCTTTTCCTGCTGATCATTTTTGCATTTAATGTTGCCCTCTTTCTTTTAAAGATAATAATAGCCAACAAATTAGTAAAAATTGTCATTTAAAGGCAATTTTACTCCTACAAGAAGTTATCTGACAGTTTTTTTTTTGAACTTTTTCCCCTGTCAGATTATCTCCATCTAGAAAAGTTTTACAATACTAGATGATTATTTCATTTATCCCTAATATCCATTTTTACCCATGGTGGTCTATTTGGTAGGCCAGCGGGTTCATCATACACAATTCTAAACTAGATACTCTAAGGAAGATAGTGGAGAAGTTTGGTTGCACTTGGTCCAGTAGTTTCAGAGTAGATTTTTGTAAAAGTTATCAGAAGTCAGATTTCAAGTGATGGCAATAGCTCACAATGGCACTTTGGACCAGTTGAGCTAATAAATACAAGTATTCTGAGAGTATTTCATGGCAATACATAGTCCCCTACCGGGTAAAAATTCATTATACTGGAACAAAATGCTAACTTGTTCTATAACTTGTCATGGTGTAAACAAAAAGAAAATATCAAGTCAAAATCTTCAAGCATGACTAAAAACAGTGTGGAAAACTGATTAAATGAGTGATTTTTTCAAGTCCAAGGACCATAACTCTGCACAAAATTATCAGACCAAAACAAAATTTCAAACTTGATCTGTATACTTACTTGTCATGATAAAACTATATACCAATTATCAATCAATATCTTCAAGCATGATGAAAAAAAGGGTGGAAAACACTTTAACATTAGATATGATTAATAGTTCTCTAAAATTAGATATGATGTAATACAGTGTATATCTATTTTCAAATTATAATCAAATATAATTAATAGTTCCAAATATTTTTTCTTTCATTAATGTCACACAAACTAATATAGATTTGTAACTTATCTATAAAATGTCAACAATTTTTATCTACACAATGTAATATAATATATACATTAATAAAAATAGATTATTATCTAATTAAAGGAATTCACTTCATAATTTTTTTGTATATATATAGCATTCAGGAAATTAGTTTATGCAAAATAACAACAAACCTGCCAAAAAATTCTTCAAATTATTTACCAAAGAATGTCTTTAAAAAAATGAGTTATCTCCCTTTGTACAGAAATATGGTTTAACATAGTACTCTACATTAGATATGGTCCAGAGTTATGGTCCATAACTCTGGACTTAATCATCAGACCGGAACAAAATTCGAACTTGATCTATAACTTGTCATGGCAAAACTATATACCAAATATCAAATCAATATCTTTAAGAACAAAGAAAAAAAGTGTGGAAAACTGATTTGTTGGACTGATGGATGGACAGATGGACGGACAGACGGACAGAGTGCAAACCTAAAGTCCCATTGACTTCATCGGTAAGGGACTAATAAGGGATTTAGTATGCATGGCAATAAGACATGTATCCACCAAAGACCAAAGGAAGGGGCAACCAATGATAACCACTGGAATGTCTTGGGCCAGGCACATACACATGTGTGTATACTAGAACAGAGCTAATATATCATGTTAAATAAAATAAAATGTTCCGCTGGGCGCAGCTTGGTACGACCGCAGAGGTCGAACCCTGAACAGTTGGGGCAAGTATGGACACAACATTCAAGCTTGATACAGCACTGAATTTGGATTGTGATTAAATATTTGACACAGCATAGGTTTCTGACACAGAATGAATGTGGTCTAAGAACTTAAAAAATTCTAATTTACCTATTCAAACCACATCATTATTATTTGCTTTTATATATAAAATTTGCTTTTATATATAAATCAGAAATAACCAATTTAAAATGGAAAATTTTAAAGTAAAAAAATTTGTAAGGGTTCCGCGGAACCCAGTGTCTCGCCTACTTTTGCTGTTAATTGTAGGCTCAACAAAAATGAGATGAGGAAAAAATTTAATAAAAATATTCCTCTCGATACAATTTTGTTATTGTAAGCAGCTTCTGTCCAAGTTTGGTAAAAATCCAGGATAGTTTATGAATCTAATAAATATTTTTAAAAATTTAACTGCAGACTGTATGTAATGTTAACTGGAAGAAAAACTAAGTCCATTTATAAGTAAAATATGGATAAACAAGTACAAAATTTTAATAAAAATTTCCTTCTAGATACTAGCTTTTGATCATAAACAAGCATCTGGCCATGTTTGGTACAAATCCAGGATAGTTTGAGAAAGTTATTAAAATTTTAAAAACTTTAACCACAGAGTGAATGTAATGTTTCCTGGCAGAAAAACTAAGTCCCTTTATAAGTAAAATACGGAAAAACAGGAATTTTTTTTTTACAAAATTAACTTCTGGATACTATCTTATGATCATAAACAAGCTTCTGTCCAAGTTTGGTAGAAATCCAGGATAGTTTAAGAAAGTTATTAAAATTTCAAAAACTTTAACCACAGAGTGAATATTTGTGGACGCCGCCGACGACGACGCCGACGGAATGTAGGATCGCTATGTCTCGCTTTTTCGACAAAAGTCAAAAGCTCGACAAAAAAAGGAAAAAAAGGAAAAAAAATCCCCCCCAATTTTTTGAACCCCCTTATGATTCATCACCCCTAAACTCAATCCCAGCCTTCCCTTTGTGGTATGGTACCTTGCAGTACAATTTCAGAGATATCCATAAACTTGAACACAAGTTATTGTCTGGAAACTAGAAAAATGCTTGCTTTTTGGCCCCTTTTTGGCCCCAAATTCCTAAACCTTTAGGGCAATTACCCCCAAACTCAAACCCAGCTTTCCCTTTGTGATATGGAACCTTGTAGAACAATTTCATAAAGATCCACACACTAACACACAAGTTATTGTCCTGAAACTAGAAAAATGCTTGTTTTTTACCCCTTTTTTGCCCCTAATTCCTAAAATTTCGAGGCAATTACCCTGAAAATAAATCCCAGCCTTCCCTTTGTGGAATGGTACCTTGAAGTACAATTTCAAAGAGATTCATACACTTGAACACAAGTAATTGTCTGGAAAATAGAAAAATGCTTATTTTTGGCCCCTTATTCTTAAACATTTTGGGCAATTACCCCCAAACTCAAACCCAACTATTCCTTTGTGATATGGAACCTTGTAGTACAATTTCAGAAAGATCCATACACTTACACACAAGTTATTGTCATGAAACTAGAAAAATGCTTGTTTTTTGCCCCTTTTTTGGCCCCTAATTCCTAAAATTTTGAGGCAATTACCCCCAAAATCAATCCCAGCATTCCCTTTATGATATGGAACCTTGTGGTACAATGTCAGAGAGATCCATACACTAACACACAAGTTATATCTGGAAGTTACAAAAATGCTTATTTTTGGCCCATTTTTGGCACCTAATTCTTTAACTGTTGGTACCATAACCCCCAAAATCAATCCCAACCTTCATTTTGTGGTATTGAACCTCATGGTAAAATTTCATAGAGATCCATTCACTCAAACTAAAGTTAGAGTGTGAAAACCAATGGGTCTTCGGACGACGACGACGACGTCATACCAATATACAACCGCATAATTTTTTTGCGGTCATATAAAAAACTAGAGGCTCTAAAGAGCCTGTTTCGCTCACCTTGGTCTATATGCATATTCAACAAACAACACTTTCCAACTTAGTAGACAAGAATGGATTTCATGACAAAAATCTCTGTGTAGGCCAGGTGAGCTAAAAATATATATGAAATATCAGTTCACCACCTTCAAAAAGGACCAGTACAAACATTTAAAGTGATTTTTAACTTATCACATTACTATCATAAGCCAATCATCATCTCAATACCTGCAGCTGAAAATGGAGATGAAAACTGTCAATAGTATGTCAAAGAGAACAACACTCACATCTGATTTGTTACTAATCATAGTCTCCAGGCATGTATACATTGAATTGATTCTATATATCAAATAAGTGAAAAAATTACATGATGCAAAAAACAGTCACTGAACCATAAAGTCAAGGACAAAGGACATATGTCACATTGAAATTTCAGATCATAATGCATCTTCTAGCTTTATACCAATAGTTATATTGCCACTAACAGATAAGCATCTCTATGTCTTGCATTCCATTTTTTTGGCAAGTTTTTAGAATCCTATTTCTATAAATTGAAGAAACAAATATATAATATCATAAATAAAATTTTAATGAAAAAAAATACTAACAACAGAGACAATTCTACTATTATTTTCATCTATTTTTTACTCATCATTTGTTGTAAAATTCTTGAATAAAATGCCATTTACTAAAAGTAATCGCTACATAAGCAATTTCACAACAATGACAAACAGCAGCTCCAAGAGCACCAGATAACGCCCATTGTATGCATATTGAAATTGTTGGAAGAGTAAAATGGAATATTGTAGAAGGCATTAAGTTTTAGGTCAATAAACTGGTCATGCACAAACACTTGCAGGAGGATTACTTTAGGCATAAAGCAAGTGTCTGGAAACAGTCATATTTGCTAGACATGACTGAGTCTAAAATGGAAAAGACTGAAATGATTATTATAAGTACAATGTAATAAAATTAAAAATTCAAATGATTTTCTGCCATTTGATAAATAGAACAAACCCTGCATGGTAAATCCAGAATTCATTCATAATTTATAAACAACTTGAAACTTCTGGTTTTCACTTCTTTTCTCAAAATCAAAAGTAATGTTGTCAAAGAATTTTCAATTTAAGTCATTCAAATCATTTCAATTTTTAAAAATAAAAAAAATAAAAAAGCTTTCTTCCACAGATTTGATTAAAGCATTCTCTAGCTTTTGTATAATATTGTAGACTGTTGGATACATTGACAGAAAGAACAATAGTATAACCATAATATGTCCCATCTATGATGTACATATAAAAATGTAGAAAGTCTCTATAAATGTACAACATGGCAGTTTCACAGCAGCTAATTTAAGATATGCCCTAAATATAATGAAAAAAGAATGAATTATTGTAATTGTAATTGAAAAATACATTAAGATTTGAAATACATAATTTTGGCAATTCACTAAAAATTGGAGAACTTGTAAAAGTTATTTATGGTGCAGACAATTTTACACTGTAGAGAAGTAATAAATATTCAAAAAAGTTAAAAGCAACTATGTGTATTATTAGTGCTTTTTCCTGTCAACCTTATCATGCATTAAATGCATTAATGTAAGAGGTTTTATCATTATCAAATTTGAATCCTGAAAATGTTTTAGGATCAAAGTTGACTGAAACTTTAACTGCTACATAAGTATAAGACATATAAATAAATTAAACATTTTTCTTTTTTTATTGCCTTCAAAGATTAAAATATGACTACATTTTGGACCTACATATCATTCCTGTAATGATGGAAGTATGAGTAATAGTACAAAATTTATCATAAAAATTGCACAATATTAAATTTTCATTCACTCATCAAAACCGGTGATGGCTATATACCCTGTTCGTAAGCACTTGTTTCACTAATTGTCTAAAATGAATTATGATTTATCATACAGACAATCCTTTAACACACTAAATAAATAAAATTAAAACCTGTAAATATGTGTAGCAACTTCTGTTAAATGACGGTCATGTTATTATTAAAAAAAAAAAAAAAAAACTTGTTGCAGTAGTAAATTTCAAATATACAAATACCAGTACATGTAATAGTATAAGTGTGTGGTGATGAAAAAAAAAAATTCTAACAGAAATAAAACCACTAATTCATGGCCTCATTGCTTTCTATGTCAAATTCAGCAATTTCCAGCATTCATAGTCATTGAAGTCAAAATACAGTGACAGTGATTTATGTCAAAACAATACCTTAACCTAGCTTGTGCTGTTTACATTAAATTTAACTTTAATTGCATATAAGAAAGCACTGGTTCTTGGAAGTTTGGAAGTGTAAAAACAGTTACTTTTGATCTGAAAAACAGGCAAAGTATGCACTTCTGTTTCAATTTCAAAACAAATATTCAGCAAGTGTTCCCAGGTCCTAAAGCTTTCATTTCATACCAAAATTACTTAAATATCTTACACATTTTAAAATTGAACAAATTTGTGGGAACTGTTTTGTTGTAAATATGTACTCGTTCTTATATGCTCTTTCTGACTAGGCCCAAATTAGTGGTTCCATACCATAACTTGTTAAAGGTGGTCCCAAATAAAAAATATAACATTATAGAAATAATAGCATAAGATGACTTCATCTGAAAAAAAACAACACCATGTATTAAACAACCTTGTAGAAATATAAAGAATATTGGAAAGACATTCACATACATTTATTACATACAGAAATATAAATAAAAATTTCAAAAAGCAATTTAAAAGTCAATATTATATGTATATATTGAATAAACAAAATAAAAATAACAGAAGTCATTTAGCATACCGACACATTTTGATACTTTGTCCATGTAATTATAGCTTAAAGAATAGGGATTTTCTTTGTCGATGTAATAGCTTTAAGAAAAGGGAATTTCTTGGTCGATGTAATAATACTAATAGCTATAAAAATAGAAAATTTCAAACATGCTAAGCTTCAAAGTATCTTCTTAAAAATCAATGTTCATGAAGATAGGCTTGCTTTTGTTTTAGAAGTATATCAAATATTTCCCCACATAAACAACTGTCTGTCATTAAGTCCGTCATCATAGTATGTCATCGTTTGTCATAGTCCCGCCGGTCTACTATTAGCACTTATTCTAGAATTGATAACAAAACTTAACATTTAACGTTTGCAATGATGTTTCTGAAGAGTTATAATTTAAAGGGCTTCACTACATTCATTGGAGGCGAGACAAAAATTATGGATTTAATATGATATGTTATGAATTTAATTCATGAGATATGTGTTAAGTATCATGATAATAAATTGTATGTGATGGAAACCACGAAGGGTCTATCTTTTATCCTTTAAAAAATTTATATATTGGTAATACCTCCTAGCATTAAATATAACAAGAATGCCCTGCATAACAGTATATGATTGAATTTTATTGTATGAAATCTTCAAGATCAAGGTCTAAATTCAGGTTAAAAGAACCTTAACATTATCAATGAACCATGAAAGGTCAAGGTTAGATAAACCCTGCAAAATAGATATGTACACCTTACAGTCATTCTAGACAACCATTATAGTTGGCCCATTACTTAAAGTATCTGAGAAACAAACCTTATCATAAAATCTTAACTTTAACCAATACAATGAAAATGAGGTCAAATAAAGGCAAAAGTAGTATACCACTGTTCAATAGTCATAAATCGTTTAAGCGAAAAAAAATCCTGGTTACAAACTAAAACCGAGGGAAACAAATCAACTATAAGAGGTCAAAGTCAGATGAACCCTGTCAGACAAACATTTCCACCTGACATTCATTCTGTATACATGTACTAAATATTGTTGACCTTATGCTTATAGTATGTGCAAGATGGACCTTATAATGAAAACTTAACCAATCATGGCATTTACAAACGAGGGTGCACTTTATAAAACAATATACATCTTTAATATTGGTGTAAGTGTGAAAAAAGTGTTTATTCAAAGCAATTTACAAAACAATTTATATCTTTAATAGACCTTATCGCTATTTTGGAATCTGCGCTGCTTGACCTTAGAATCTGCGCCTCTTGACCTATTGACGTCATACAACAATCACTTTTCCATTGTGGTGTCAGATATTTTTTATTGTGACATCAAAATTTTACGGGAACCTTCGTGATGTCCAGTAATGGCTGACAAATAGTGATAAGGTGTATTGGTGTAAGTGTGAAAAATATTAATCTGAATAACCTTGTGTAACATGTGACTTTTAATTCCAAAACACTTCTTCATACATATTAAACTGATATAATATTTTATTATATACTTAGTAGTAAATACAGATAAATTGTATGTGTAATACAATCATTGGCAAGCATGCTGTATCAGCTACCCGTGATGATATCGATATCAGCACGGTTGCAAAGGCTTTATCACACCTTTAATATGTATGACGTCACGTCATCGATTGCAGTCACTGTTGCAAAGGCTTTATAAAACCCCTAATCTGTATGACGTCATGTCAAACCTATAATCTGTATGATGTCATTTCAAACCTCCTTACCTGTATGACGTCATGTCACATAAAAAAAATCTACATAATAAAGTGTACATGATATGGCGTTTTCAATATCACACACCGTATCAACCCTAACCAATATAATCCCAAGAGCTCTGCTATAAAATGAAAATCACCACCCACATGTACATATCAACCTACATATTTGATTAAAACTATCATAATATCAAAGCAAAAACTTTTAAGTACATGTAGTAAACAAAAATTTGAAAAAGTACAATTTCTTTTTTATTAGATCATAAACAAGTGGTGAAATAAAGCTGTCATTCAATTTTCCTAATCTTACAAACCCTTTGATCTATATATTGTAAAAAAAAGCTATAAAGAAAAATTCTTGGGAGATTAGGCACGTTATAAACGGAACCTTACATATATTCAATAAATGCTAAATTGTGTTCAATGCAGATCCACAATATTGACTTTGATGTCCAAATAAAAAAAGACTATAAAAATATATAAATACAACCACTTGACTAATAATGCAGCATCCACATTGCAAATGAGAATAAAAACAACAAACACTGTGGGTTCATTTGTTTTCGAGGGTACCAATTTTTGTGAATTGAGGAAAAATATATTTTTGTGGATAGTTAAAAACATGGTTTTTCAAAAGTTTGTATATAAACCTATAGACAATTTATACTTCGTCAACCATTTAACTTCGTAGTTTCCCTATATCCATGAAATCAAAGAAAATTGGTATCTCTTCAAATATAATGAATCCACAGTACATTACAAAACAAATGTAATCAATGAAAAATATTTAATACCAAGAGGAAAAGGTCTGTATGAAAAAGGCCTTGAGATGATGAGATAGGAATAAAAAAAAAAAAAAATCAGATTCTGGTTTCTTATGTTTGTTTTATAAATACATCATTTAAAATTTAAAAAAGCTACCTTTTTTTAAGTAAAAATTTTCAAAATTTGTTAAAAAATCATCGAAAAGAATGAAGTTTTGATCATTTAATTATAAAAAAAAATAATATGTAGATATTGATGCAATCTATATTTGCCTCACTTTGAAATTTTGAATAACTTATACCCTCCTGTACTATGTGTTACATTCATTATGATTTTGTATTGCTACTTATTCAATGTAATTAAATTTGTTGAAACAGAAAATTCAGTTTTATGTACAAGTATGAAAAACTTTCTTTTTTTCTTTTTCTCTAAATGACTATGAAAATGTTTTCTATGCCTTTCTATTACCACAATTTCTATTAGACAGTATACATAACAAAATGTGATTCCATTTTCACATCTATTTTTTATGATACACAAAATTCAACACTAATGACAATTCATTGTAATAAAATCTTAACAAGAAGCACCTCTTTATTATTTTTAACAAATAAAATAACTAATGTACAAATGAAAACTAATGCATCTGAAAATGCACTGAGATTCAAATATTTGTTTCATGTTCCAATGTTTATTTTCTGTTTATAAGTTTGGAAATTTTTACAGGCCAATATAAATTACTGAATGTTGTTACACAATCTCTAAACAAGAAAATTCGTAAACTGTTTGAAATTCAATCTAAAATTTATAGCCTTAAGGTTTAACCTTTTGATTTTTAAAAAAGCTATAAATAATTTTCAGAAGCCATAGTTTTAAAAAAAAATCAATGATGAAATATCAAATTTATCTACTGTGGATTCACTTCATTTCGTGAGTACCAATTTTCGTGATTTGAAGAAAAAAAGTATTTTCGAGGATATTTGATATCTTTATTTTGCCGAAGTTTGCATTACAAGCCTATATGAAATGTATACTTTATTAAACATCTAAATTCCTGGTTCATCTATACCCAAGAAACCCATGGAAATTGGTATGCACTAAATTATAAACGATCCACAGTACTAATTTTTTGGTTATAAAATATAAAATGTTATAAGAATTGGATGGATGTTTTGTAAGTTCACAAGGTTGTGACTGAACACATATTTTAGTATGAAGTAATTCATAAAATTTTGAATATTTGTATATGTTTGATTTAAATAAATCAACGAAGGCAAGTCCTATACTGGCTGTGATGAAAACATTATTATCTAAAAAAATTTAAATACAACGAATAAATTTGATCCTATTATAACCCAGACTACTGATACTGCATCGGGTAATCTGGTTGTTGATTATATGCCTGGAACTGAGGTTGCTGTTGGTTTTTCTGTAAATTTGGAACACCTTTACGGTAAACTAGCATATTTAAAACTGGTTTCCTCTGAATATACTCCACAGCCTTACGGTGTGTAACTACTGTCATGTCATGACCATTTACCTGAAATATAAATGTTTTAAACTAAATTCTGCTGTTCACATGTCAAATTCTACTTACTTACTGACTGATTAAAGCTTAAACATTCAGTTGATATAGATATGCATATTTAATTAAACATATTCAGTAGTGGTAAATATAATTTTACTTTTCAGTTCTACTTATTAATGAAGTACATTTCACTTCAGATATGAAAAAAAGGTTCTTTAAATTTAACAATAATCCTCCATAACTATTTGCACTTAAGAAGACTTATTAAAAAGTAAAATAACAAAATAACGAACTCCAAGGAAAATTCAAAATGGAAAGTCCCCCATCAAATGGCAAAATCAAAAGCTCAAACACATCAAACGAATGGAAAACAACTGTCATTTCCTTATAGAGAAAATGGTGGATTACTCTCACTTGTACGACAGTCGCATGGAATTCCATTATATTGACAACAATGAGTCAGCAAAACAAACTGACCTAATAGGTAAAAATGCAAAAAATTAGGATACAGCAGTCAACATTGTATTATAATCTGAATTACTTTAATACTTGAGTATATGTGTGCTTATTATGCATGGTACCTATATCAGTGAAATAAGCCAACAAAATTTGCCATAAATTATTTGCAATATAAAAATACATTCCTGCTCACAATCACATTTGCAATATGTGTTTTGCTCATTGTCAAAGGTCGTACCGGTGACATATAGTTGCTCACTTCTGTCATTTGGTCTCTGGTGGAAAAATGTCTAATAGGCAATCATACCAAATCTTCTTTTTTTTCATTTTTTATGTGTACTAAGTTTCAAGTTGATTTGACCATACTGAATATAAAAGAAAACACAACCAATATATCTATGAAAGAAAAGCTTCGGTCATTTGGATACATGGAAACAGTTCTAAAATGTTCCAAAAAATTATCAAAGGCAAGGTAAGCCATTTTGGATTAAAAGGCAGGAGACAACAAATAAAATCTTAGAATTACAATAAGAAAATTTGGTGTCCATTAGTACTCTATGAAAACTTTGTAGAAGATGGACACAACGCTATTGGTCACTGTAACTGGTATGTGAATACTGTACTTTAATTCATCAGATATTCATGAAAGAGACATGTAAGGGGTACCTGTAAATACTAAAACCAGAAGATCATGTTTTGATCAGGTTTTTTATTACAACATTTGGTAACTCAAGAGAGCAACCAGTAAAAATGGAAGAGGCAAAATATTTCCATGTTTGAAAATACCTGTAAAATTTTGTCATGGACCGTAAGTCCACATCTTGCAGCAGGTCCTTCTTCATGTATGTAAGTGACATATATACCCTGAAAATACAAAGTTTTCACCATATTACTTATAAACCCTGAAAAAAGAAAGTTTTCCCCATAATACTTATATACTCTAAAAGAAGATTTTTCCCATACGATATATATACCCTGAAAATAGAAAGTTTTTCTCATATTACTTATATACTCTGAAAAAAGAAGATGTTTCCCATATTACATATATACCCTAAAAAATAGAAAGTTTTTGCCATCTAACATATATACCCTGAAAATAGAAAGTTTTCCCCATATTACTTATATACTCTGAAAAAAGAAGATTTTTCCCATATTACATATATACCTTGAAAATAGAAAGTTTTCCCCATATTACATATATACCCTGAAAATAGAAAGTTTTCCCCATATAACTTATATCCTCTGAAAAAAGAAGATTTTTCCATTATTACATATATACTCTGAAAATAAAAAGTTTTCCCCATATTGCATATATACCCTGAAAATAGAAAGTTTTCCCCATATTACTTATATACCCTGAAAATAGAAAGTTTTCCCCATATAACTTATATACCCTGAAAATAGAAAGTTTTCCCCATATTACTTATATACTCTAAAAGAAGATTTTTCCCATATTACATATATACCCTGAAAATAGAAAGTTTTTCCCATATTACTTATATACTCTGAAAAAAGAAGATTTTTCCCATATTACATATATACCCTGAAAATAGAAAGTTTTCCCAATATTACTTATATACTCTGAAAAAAGAAGATTTTTCCCATATTACATATATACCCTGAAAATAGAAAGTTTTCTCCATAATAATTATATACTCTGAAAAAAAAAGATTTTTCCCATATTACATATATACCCTTTAAATAGAAAGTTTTTGCCATCTTACATAATACACCCTGAAAATAGAAAGTTTTTGCCATCTTACATATATACCCTGAAAATAGAAAGTTTTTGCCATCTTACATAATACACCCTGAAAATAGAAAGTTTTTGCCATATTACATATATACCCTGAAAATAGAAAGTTTTTGCCATATTACATATATACCCTGAAAATAGAAAGCTTTTGCCATCTTACATATATACCCTGAAAATTAAAAGTTTTTGCCATATTACATATATATCCTGAAAAAAGAAAAAAATAGTCCTTTCTTTTAACTTTGATGTCTTACTTTGTTAAAAATTACTATTCATAACACTGCATTCATAAAAAGAGGCCAAAGATACCATAGGAAAAATCAAAACTCACAAGCTGAAGAGACATTGATTTCAAAATATAAGGTCATTTTTATCATGTTGTTTTTGTCACTCCTTTAAATTACCAGGACATATACAAAGTAAGGCTACATTCACAATGTTACTATATTGGGTAAACTTCATTATCTCAATAAAATTACATTCGACTAGTTAAGTACAAAATGAAGCAAATTTTTTTTCAAAATTTAAACCTTAAATATTGTTTATTAAACTTTAAGCTCTATTGGTAGACATGTTTCTCGTCTTTTGACACCAAAATGAAAATACTTTTCGACGTCAAGGCCTTATGTTTGTTGTAGAATGCAATAAAAGAGACCATAGAATATTCCAATTGTATAATGTCTAATCAATTTGAAATAGAAATTACATTTTAAATATTTGTTTAGAGAATATATCAACATTTCTTATTATTCTTAAATCAAATAAGGAAGTGCTGTGTTTATACGATCATAGAATATTAAAACAAATTATATTTAAAGTTGGTTATTCACATGTACCTCTTTCATTTTCAGTACAATATATTTATGTAGACCTTGTATATGTATTTAATTTTAAGAGACATCACAATGTCAAAATTTAGTAGGGGGAATATTTCAACTTGAGTATAAAGATAAAGAAACAATAATATTTTATGTTGGGAACTCATGGTGCTGTAAATTTCAAACTTTAGCTTTGTACTTTGTTTTATCAGATATATATAACTCCACAATTGGCAAAATTGAAGTTTCACATTGGCATGGGGACATATACATCCAAGTACCTATACTTAAGTATGACCACGAATATAAGAACTGTACACACTAATATTTACATACGTATGTAAAGTAAATCTCATTTAATACATTCTAAAATCTTTTTCCTCTCAAGAGAAAAGTCAAATGGATGACTGTGTAATCGATTGATGATTTATTACATTTTAAATGAACTTTATTAAAAAATTTTGCAATGTCATACAAAAAAGGTTAAAAGTGCGAAAATAAAATCAAAAATAGAAACTCTTATCTTTACTAATGATATGCATCTATGCACAATGTACTTTAAGTGAAAGTATGTTTGTTGTGTTTAATTAAGCAGAAACCAAAATAAACAATAAAGCAATAGCATTTCTTTGTTTTAACAATTAAAACATTGTTGTACCTATAACCTTAAAAAACTTGGAAATATTATTTTTCCTTACCCCCAGAACACAGAAAAATAGAATTTTGACATAATGGAATCTGTCATAGGATCATAAATAAATTAAAAATGACTTATTCAAATTGGGTTACCAAATGTTCTGTAGGGCCATCTACCTTAAACATGTCTCTTTATTTTATACTATGGTAAAGAAGTAGAAATCTGTAAATTCAGAAATTAATGCTGGCATTTATTATTCAAATCCCTGATTACTGGTGAAAATGGGATCTAATAAATGTGATTGAATTTTGTGAAGGAAAATCACTTCATGTCCTGAAATTATAAATACAAACTTTTATTTTGGCAAACCTTATTCTGTCATATTATTCACATTAATAAAAACATCGCAATAATTTCTGAATTTACAGTAACTATCATGTCTATAAGCCTCAAAATCTCTTCAATCTACGAACAAGTATTTTGGATAAAGCATTCTCTAAAGAACATTTATATATAAATTAAGCAAATCAATGTTAAATATCATTTTTGAATAAATATAAATTATAAGAAATGTGGGGTATACATCAATGAGACAGAGACCCAACAACACAAACACCAAAAGACATGATATAATGGTCAATATACAGTTTTCAACAAGAGACAAGACCTGTGTGATAACATTATGCCAAGCTTTAAATCCCTGAGACTGCTGCTTTCAGTGTAAAAATGAAATGATCGACTGTCGAAAATATAAGGCCAATTATCCACTGTGTAGCATCACCACAGGATATAGGTACCCTCAAGTGGTGGAAAAAACAAAAGCGAAGTCAGGTAAGATCAAATTTTTTTTTATTTTCATCATATTCTACGTTTTGCTGATAAGTAAAGTTTTATGATACTGATTCCTATTAATGTAGCTACTATTTAGGGCTGATTATGATCCTTAATTGGCTTTCTCTCTCTTCAAATAATCAGAAACAGACCGGGTGGTACCTGTTCAAAGAAGCTTGTGACGAATTCAAACTTGTTAAAAATACATTTATCCTTCAACTATTCATTTGACGTTTTCGTAGAGCAAAGTTATTTAAGTTTGAACAACACTGTATTCTGAAATAAACTATTGTTTTCACAGAAAAATTCATGTAAATAAAGCGGATACATTGTACGGCAAATAGTTGTTTACTGTATGGGGATTAAAATTGAGAATGGAAATGGGGAATGTGTCAAAGAGACAACAACCCAACCAAAGAGCAGAAAACAGCCTAAGGCCACCAATGGGTCTTCAACACAGCGAGAAAATCCCTCACCTGGAGGCGTGCTTCAGCTAGCCCCTAAACAAAAATATGTACTAGTTCAGTTATAATGGACGTCATACTAAACTCTGAAATATATAAAAGAAACTAAAATTAAAAATCATACAAGACTAACAAAGGCCAGAGGCTCCTGACTTGGGACAGGCCCAAAAATGCAGCGGGTTAAACATGTTTTGTGAGATTTCAACCCTCAATACTAGGTACTTTTTGTTAACATTGTTTCTTTGCTTCGGGGTACCTATATCTGGTGGTGAAGCTACACGGTGGTGGTCATTTTCTGAAAATAAGAGATGTTTTTGTTCATTTTGTAGTAACTGCGCCACTATTTGATTGACATATTTAATTCATGAACAGCACAGTTAAGTTTCATTGGTCAGCATTTAACCTTTGACATGTATCATCGTCAATTAATATTACAAATCATATGAAGCTAAACGTTACTCTTCAACATATGTAATGAACTCATAGTAACACTTTTCGTCCAATAAATACATTAATTCATAAAAGGTATATTTATAACTTTCTTTGCACTTCCAGCTGATGTTGATCATCATACACAATACATGTACTGCCATAAAATGAAAATAGAAATTTATAAACAAATTATATGGGGAATAGTTTCTTACTGTATGGGGATTAGAATAGAAATTTTTTGCTATCTTTGTTTCTTTGGGGGTACCTATATCTGGTGGTGATGCTACACAGTGTTATCAGTAAAATACAGAAAAATCAATTTGAAAAAAATGAAAAATTTTCCCAAGTATCCATTGGTTAGACAAGCTTCTGTCCAGGCTTTGTAAAATTCCATGACGGTTTGACAAAGTTAATTAAATTTTCAAATCTTTAATCACAGACCTTACCTAAAATTTTAAAGCAAAAAGAAACATAACCACAAAATAATAAGCCCAATCATTTGTAAAATATGAAAAAAATGGGGAAAATGACCCCTGGGAACTCTCTCTATGTGGTGGTTTATTTGATTTTTCTTGTGATGAAGACCATCTTTCATTCATTAGATTCTCCTAAAAAAAGAAGATGTGGTATGATTGTCAATGAGAAAACTTTCCACCAGAGACCAAATGACATAGAAGTTAGCAACTAAAGGTTTGGCCTTCAACAATGAGCAGACTTAAACCGCATAGCAAGCTATAAAAGACCCTACCATGACAAATGTAAAACAAGAAAATAAATGGCCTGATAAATGTACACGACAACAAACGAAAAAAACAAATATGATATACAGCAACAAATAACGATCAGTTAAAAAAGGCTTGACTCATCAGATTTACACAAAGTACACCCAAAAAAAATCCCAACTAACAAAAAGACTTTTAAGACAC